CAGTTGCATTTCGGTTGTATGATCTAAAATATTAATTATTTTACTTAATTTTTATAAATTTTTAATGTTTTTATCAATAAAATAATATTTTTAAATATTTAAAATATATTTTTAAATTTTTAAATTATTTAGGATTTATAAATATCTTTCTCCTCATAAATATCTTTCTCCTTATAAATTATTTCTCCTCATAAATATCTTTTTTGCAAATTTATATAGGATTTATAAAAAAATTATTTTTATTAATTATCATTTATCCAGGTAAATGATACCCATCTCCCAGACAGATAAATAATTTTTCCATTTGAAAGAAAAACATTGATACTTAAGTAGGACAAAATTAATCCTTTTAATAATGGTTTTTTATGATCAAAATAATTATTATCTTATTTAATTAGTTAAGAAATAAAAAACATTGCTATAAATAACTTCCCAAGGATAAACAGGGACTATATAACGTATCACAGTCTTGCCCAGGATCCAAAGACAAAAACGGTTCAACCTGTTATCTGTTTTTAAAACATCGCGTCTTCTAATTTGATTGATTCAGTAACAAAGGAAAATGAAAAAGGCAGCATCCTCAAGTTAGGGACAATGGTGAAATGGCTACATTGCCCCTTCATTCATTGATTCATGTGCCTCCCTCATAGCTAGTACCTGATATCGTGATATGTCCTTAACTGTCGTTTGATTCTCTTTTGTTTGGAGGAATTCTGCGGTGCGGCTGTAGATGGTTTGTATATTTTCTTCATCCATGTGGGCCCTAATAAAATCCATGCAGTATATGAGTACAGATTTCTCTGCGGATACAAGGAATGTCAAAAGTAAAAGTCAATGGTCGTGCATTAAATCAAGGCAAAAGATTGAGGCTGGGACGGTGGGACCAGCCTAAGAATGACAAAGGCCAAAGGGCGGGTCCAGAGTAGGGATTATATTATCATTCTTGATTTTTATTTTAAAACAAATATTTATTCTCGACCATAATTTTTTCCAGAATAAAAATTATCTTCTATCCTCAATCTTTGGTGAAGATGGATTCTTTGCGGGGCTTAAATCCCTAAAATTTTTAACAATACTTTTTGAAAAAAAATAATTAAAATAAAATAAAATTTTAAAATATAACTATTTTAAATATATTTATATAATATAAATAATATTATTTATAATCAGGTCGAGGTGGGGTGAGGACTTCATTTCCCATCCCCGACACGACGAAGAGGTCAAGTACCCAACCAGGATGGAAAAAATTGTCATCCATAAACCAACCAAGTGGAGTATTCAAGAATTACCCTTCTCTTTAGGATTGTTAATGGGTTAGGCCGACCCGATAAGCCGAACTGAACTGATAGGATCTGGAGACTCCAACCAACTATGAAGATACTCTTAATCTAATACTTAATTTCTCTTCCATCATTAAAAATACCTAATTTTCTCATTAACATTATCAGGGCAATATCTATTATCGTCTGATGATGTCTAAATTCCAAAATGTGTCGATTTAAAAATTTAAGTTTATTGTCAAATTACAGGTAGAGAATAGCTGTCAATTGTAATTAGGTATTATTGGTTCATACTCGAAAATCCAGATTACAAACCCTACATTCGCAGCAGGTTTTGTACATCGAATAGTGAGGTGGAGAACGGGTCTATTTCCAACCTGGAGCAGACCCGATTCATCGACTCATCGACAGAACCTTTTTCTGAGGCATTATGGAAAACACCCATTTTTCTGTCATGAATTTGGTATTTTCACATTGTTGATATGAGGAGGCAATTGGAGAAATGTTCCACTACAGCCCAAGGAAGCTATGTTTTGAAAGGTCAAGACATAAAGCTGAGAGTGGGTAAGGTTAGGGTAGAAAGTATGCATGCATGCAGTGCAGGGTCCACAGTCGGTCATTCATCACAACGCCAAGAATCTGCCGTTGGACCATTCTTTCATATTATTAGTGGGTTCATCTACTGATTTATCCTGATTAAGGTTATGTCTGGCCAAAAAGTGGTTTGAGAATAAGTACATCTTTCCTAAATCACTTTCACTTATTTTAAATATTTATTTGAGTTCATTTCGGCTAATCAATATAAAAAACCGACAGTTAATTGAACCGATCGATATACATATTTTTTTATATATTTTATATATATATTTATGTATATTATCTGTATATATTATATATTTATATATATATATATTATAATAAATATTATAAAAACTAAAAAACCAAAAAATTGATGGAACGAATCGACAATTAACCGAACCGGTTAACCGATTACCCGAACCATGAACACTCCTAGGTTATAGTATTTGATGAACCACTTAACCAATAAGTAATTATATAATTATATTTGCAGAATTAATAATTATAGTCATGAAGAATTGTCCAAAACAAAGCCAAAAATGAGAAAAAGAAGTGAGGAGATTCATGTACCTGGAATGATCTCTCATCCTGGAGCCGCCTATTCCGCCGCTAAAATGGAGAAGATGTACGATGAGATTTTGAAAAAATGATAAGGATAATTTTGTCTCAAAAAATTAGAATAAGTGCTTAAAATAACCAACTCCCGGGTGATGACCTTTTCGGTACTTAATTTGAAAATAAGCATTTATTTGCTCTTTTTTTTCCGCCACACACGAATAAATGTTTATTCGCTGATCACATTGACGCCCCACAAGCACTCCCACATATACATCTCAACGTGCATTGGGACCCACCGGTTCTGATTTTCATAGTCCGATCATCCAATCTGATCACGTCTTAGAAACATGTAACTTTTGACAAATGACAACGGACAACTTGTTCACCCCAAACTCTATCCCTACCCTAGCCAATCCTGATATGCCACATCAGCCTAACACATAACCCCACCTGTGTGAATCTGATGTGTCATGGCGTGATTGGCGAAGGAAGCTTGATGTGAAGAGGAGAATACGGATTGGATTGTAGATTCTTTGCAGAAGACCATAAAGTTTCCCTATTTATTTATGAATGTGAAATTGTCTAAAATTTGCCATGATTTTTCATGAATTTTCTCAAGTTCACCATAAGTTTTCAAGATGTTCAAAACTCCTCATGTCAGCCAATTTTTATTTTTTTAAAACTCATAATCCGTTAGAGCACCGTTAAAGTTCATTGACCCAAGTTGTCCGCATCAACCTAAATGCAAGTTTCATAACCAAACTGCCCCTGAATGGTGAATCAGCTTGTTAAACAATTTTTTGACTGAAATGCCCTTAAACGCCCAAACTTCTTTCATATATAAGATTCCCGCTAGTTGAAAGTCTTTCTTGCTCTCAACGTCCAAGGAAGAGTTTTCTTGCTCTCAATGTCCAACGAACCTCTAAAGCTACTTACTGAAGGAATAGGAATTGAATGATTACTAAATGGTAGTTTTTTACAGTAAAACAAACTTCTTTAAAAGAAAATTGGAAATACAAGGTTGTTGCTACTCAAAACTTTCAGCACAGAATCCCCTACATGGCTCCATCTGATACCCCCATTCTCTCACTACCTATTTGATCTGCTCCTTCATGCAAATCTTTTCATTTTTATTCCAACTCCTTAAAAATCCATCCAACTGCCTCTTCTCCACCTACAAAGAAAGCTACCAATACCTTGCCCACTTTGCACTTCTCTGTCGACAACATTATCCACATAAACTGGTTTATTTGACTTATGGACAATTGGACTTCATCAACTACCTCTTCTTTATCATCTTCTTCTCATTTAACCTCACCTTCCTTAGTATGCTCTAATGGAAAACCAAGTGAATCAAATCAAGTCTGCCGAAACCGTCTTTAATCAAATTGTTAAAACCACTTAGGATAATGTTTCTGTAAATAGTTTTCCTCCTATATTGAATCTGGGTAAACTTTTCCACGGTGAAAACCATCACGTTTACGAGGAAAATGTATTTTTTTACTGTTATGTAACAAAGTACTTGGTCTGGAAAAGATCAATATAGTGTGGCACGGCTCTGTTCATTTGCCTTGAACACGAAAGCTTCTGTTTAAATATACTTCTGTGTTGAATGTGTTCTTCACAGGAAACAGATAAGCAACCGGTATACCTGCTATCAATCAGACAATCGCTGCCGTCGGAGGGAGGTCTCAGTGGCAATGGTTTTCACGTTCTAAGACAATGGAAGAATCAACGGCAATGGTTTTCTCTTTTGGTCAAACTATTAGGGTTTTGGTTTGAAGAATGACGGGGTAATTTTGAGATATTGTGAAATGGGCCGAGCATAAGAAAGGAAAGAATAGTAAATTAACAACGTTTGTTAGTTAAATTAATGTTATCGGAGAATTTTGAAAAGTTATGGGAAATTCAAGAGAATTGGTGAAATGGTGAGTTTGTAGATAATTTTTCTTTGAGAAAATTTTTAATCAATACCTTGTATTTGGGCTCGAGTGACAATTTGGTCCTCAAACTTTAAAATGTGATAATTTAATACACGAACTTTTAAAATGTGACAATCCAGTATCGTTAATCAGTCCATTAATCAAACACTAAGGAAAATTTGAAAAGTAAAAAATTTATTTCAAATGTCATCTAATTCTTTTTGTCAACCATCCAAGCATTGACAAAAAACTGAACAATTCCAAGTCCTGGTCTCTTCTAATAAAAAAAGTTAGTAAATCTACAATTTGGAACTGTTCATTTTATTGTCAATATTTAGATGAAAGATAAAGAGAATTAAATGACATTCTTAAGGCAAATTTTACTTTTTAAATGTTAATTAACGACTGATTAATGAATTAATTAACGGTAATACTGAATTTTCACATTTTGAAAATTTAGATATATATATTGAATTATCACATTTTAAAGTTCAAGAACCAAATTATCAGTCGAGAAAAACGACAGGGTATCAGGAATTTTCCATCAATGGGAATTTTCCCTTTTCCTTCCATCAATGGGAATCTTTTCAATTAAAAAATTGGTCAAAGGTTAGAGACGGGCGGAGCACAGATCATCAAAGGTGAACCTCCTGGTCCGTGGTGATTGATGAGGCAGAAAATCGGTCAGTCCGGCGAGTGGTAATCGTACCTCTGGCTTACTCAGTTACAAACCAAACCCTAGTCCACTTTAGGGGATTCCATGGTTTAATGTTTAACCATGGTTACTGACTTTACCCCTTTCTACGTTCCAAGTTTTTTATTTCGTCGCCTCTCGGCCTTGTCGTGTCGACTGTCAAGAAATGGAGTTCATTTATATGGCTTCTCTCTTCTCACCGTGATGGACTGACGGATATCTGCTGCACTCTTGCAAGTCACAAAGGGAGAAAAAGAGTTTATTTTACTAGGGTTCGAAGATTTGGTTTAACCTTGTTCATTCAATTCTGAATATGTGCAAGTTAAAGGTCTCTGTTTGACTTCTTCGGTGATTGGTTTGGAGGAGACAGAGGGTGGATTCTCTAATTCTCTATCGTTAGTTTGGCTAGCGGTTGGGTTTCTTTTATATTCCGATTCGATTGAGAAATTTTGATGGGGAAGAGGAAGACCAAGAAGAAATTAAAGAAAGTAGCAGTGGCAATAGCAGAAGCATCATCAATCGGAGAAACAACAGAACCGCAATATCAAGTTCACAGGAAGCGAGGTCGACCTCGCAAAACCGTGGAGAAGACGGGAAGTGAACAGGAAAAGCAACCAAAAGCAAAAGAAGAAGAAGCAGCCGTCAAGGAGAGCGATTTTAAGAGAGTGAAGACCCAAGTTGAAGGAGAAGAAGAGAAGGAGCAGCAGAGGGCAATTGAATCTCATTCGTCGTTGTCTTCGTTGGGTGCTGCAAAAGAAGCACAATCCGACGTAAGTAAGTCAAAGGAACCTCTTAAGAGCCAGAGCCGAGGAAGAAGAAAAGGCCAGCCTCACAAGAGCAGCAGATGATGGACTTTTAAGTTTCAAATTCTCTTTCATCTTTTCTCTGTTCCTGCTTTTTACTCTGGTTTTTCTGCTATTCTCTCTCCCATTTCTTATGTCTACTTGATTTATTTACAGAGGGAGGAGTGGAGGACAGAAGGATTGTTCTGATTAATTCTTAATTCTAGGGCTTCTCTCTCTCTCTCTTCTCTTATGTCTATTTTCTTTTTCGTTTCTGTTAATCATCTCCAGGCCTAGTACTGAGTGCAGAAATGAATATTTTGGCACTTGTACTTCCTGTGACAGGTGTCCCATCACATGTGTAGTGTAGGTGTATTAGGAGGTAGGGAGCCAGAGATCCGGCACCATTAGCATTGTGTCTCACCTTGCAGGCACAATGGGGTGAATAACACGTAAAGAGGAGCATAAATACTTAAGGACTCAGGGTTGTGTTTGGTATTTGCTATTTCAACATGAAGTACTTTGGATTGAGATAATACCCTCTAGACTTGAACTACAAGCATCATATTTCATGCCAATTTGTCCTTAAGAATGTTTGTGTATTATTAAATTGATAAAGGTTGATGTGTTTTTTTCTCCAAGTATCCCCAAGCCCATGAACCCCCAAATTCTAGTGCTGGTGGGATGCAATTCCAACACTCGGCTACAGCTAGGAAATTTTACCAATCAGTCAAAGCCAAAAGGACCACTCGAGATCTGCTACCCACTAATTGTTCTCGCATACCTCCCCACAGAGCACCACGGTCGTGCATTGATAACATCTCCCCATTAATGACAAGGGAGATATTCTTAATGCGCAACTGTAATATTTCGTGATTAAAAATGTAATAACAGCTCGTGTGTAGCAAATCCCAAACACCGATGATAATGTGTTTCTTTTGTAGAGCCAAAAACATCAATTTGATGTTTATTTAAAGGGGAACACCCTACATGAATTTTCTATACAGACAGTGTGATAAATGTCTTGACTCAAGAATTTCTCTTAACACTTATGTGGCATTAATAGCCTCTTCAATTTTCAAAAATTCCTTTCTGTCTTGTCCCTCCTCTTAATAATAGTTAATAGCCTCTTCGGTCTTCAATGTCCTCTTTACTTTTTATACTTCTTCACGAGCAAGCAAACTATTGCCAGTTGCCATGTATGGGATGGAACTTAAATTTGGTAAGGGGCTCCAGAAAAAAGTGTGCAAACTTTTTTTACTTGCTTTTTATATGCATACGAATTAATGAAAAAAGTGTGCAAATTTTTGTCTACAATTTGGACTTGATATACAAGTTTAGGTCAGTCCTATATATATGTGTGTGTTTGTGTTCCTGTTTGAGTGCATTGACATACATTAGATTAGGCAAGAAATGATTACTTATATTAAGAAGACTTTTTAGGGTTTATTTGGTTCACAAGAATAGGGGTCTAGAATTAGGTTGCAATGGCCCATTCTAGTCTCACATTTGAGGGAATGGCCATTTTGGATTCCCCTTGGGAATGAGAATCTCACTCCATCTAGTAAAAAAAAGATCCCCAAACCCTAATTCTCTTTACCCGACATTAGGGGTGAACATGGGTCAGTTTGGTTTGGTTCCATAGTAGAACCTAGAACTTACCCTGAATGGGTTGGTTCTAGGTTTTTGGAACCAAAACCTACCCTGTGAAGGTCAGTTCCAAGGCCAATTCTATCCTTGGCGGTTTCGAGGTCGATTCTAGGGTTTACCCATGAAACCTGTTCTTTCTTTAATCTCCCATTTCAAAAAAAAAAATGACATATTCTTTAAAAACTTGTTTTTCAATAAATATAATATATAGTTTAAAACTTATATCATCTTTGTTTATTAAATTGAGTATTTTGATATATAGATTATCATAATATATTAATATATGGTTCAAAACCTATCATTATAATTTAAATTTTGTAAATATTATCCGTTATATTACGTGTTATACACATTCAAATATTAAAATGAAAACAAATGATCTAATCACTTAAATAACTCAATGGTCAAGTGAGACCATGGCCTTTGTAACCATGATTGCTTGGGTTCAAATCTTCACATCCTCAAAAGTATTTTGAAGTTTATTTCAAGGCAAATTTGGCACCATCAAGGTCGGTTCCAATGCAAATTTACTTGCATGGCAACCAAACACAGCCTTAGTGACAATTCGCACTCCAAAAATGACAATCGTGCAACACTTGCCCTAGACAGGGTTTTATTGCTTGTTGTGAGGGGCAGAGATAAGGGGCCCAAGGGAGCCTTGGTCCCTATGCCTCACCTCAAAGTCCCCCACTTATATTATTAATATAATAGATTAATAGTCTTTATGGTTGACCCTATTAACATATTAATTTTTGCCAAAATAAAATACAAGTTCATTTACTAGAACAACCCCTATAGTTTTATGGATTTATTAAAACCTATCCTATAGTTTACAATGGATTTACTTAATTGGCCTTCTATTAGATAATAGTGAAAATGACAATTTTGGCCCTAATGTCCATTTGAATAAATTTAATGAAAATAAAATAAAAATTAAAGTACCAATTTTGCCCCTAACAAGACACAAGCAACCACTTTATTTGGTCAATTTTATTTTTTGTATGAAGAAGTGTTAAGGGTACTTTTGGAATAAACAATCATGAGTCCATGCCCTTGAACATTTTCAACTCAATTTAGGTGATCATGCTACTATCTTCAAATGGCAAAACAAACACTTCTTAATGAAAGGCTGATCAAGTAAATAGGTTGCAAATTATGAGGTAGGTTTAAGTAAATCTTTGAAACTAAAAGGGGTGTTCTAATAACTGACCCTAAAATAAAACCACTAATAGGTTTCAGGGGATATACCTCTTTTTTCCCTTGTATTTTCTTGTTCATGAATAGAGAGACATGAGAAACAACATCAAGGATCTGCTTAACCCCAGACAACCGGTAAGACGCTACTTGCACTTGATCAAAGAAGAAAGCATTAGGTTACTAATATGGCCCTAACCATTTACACTAGAGCTTAGCAAATCAAGTCATTTCCCTTGTCTCAGTCTAGAATCACAGACCTTCTAGCTGCTGCAGGCGGGCGAATGGATGCTTCAACCACCAGGGCACAGGTGGATTGGCAGCTGTAAGCTGTCTAATGCTTACAAGGAAGGGAGAGAAGCAAAAAAGAAAGAAAGATTACTTAAAAATGAAAGCAATGAAAAAGAAAAGGGGAATTCCTTGCACCCATCAATGTGAACAAAGTAGAATATGAAGAGAAACTTCTGTATCCCCCATCTTGATTCAAGGAACATTACCCTGATTATGTGGCACAAAAATCGAGTGGAAGAAGAAAAGCTATATGGGTTTCCCCCTTCTAGTGGACATAGACATATTTGTGGTACAACAGCAACTGATCACGTGAAATTTTATGGCCGCCACATGGTTTTCTGTGCGCACATTATGCCCTCCTTATCCTGGGCATATGTCATTCTAATCTCCCAGTGTAAACTTCTCAGTATCACCTCTAGATGTTCTAGTATCTGCACTTTATCACGGATAATTGTCCAACCACCAGGTCTTAGTATTCTGTCCATCTCAACAACAATCCCTACAGGCTGCTTACACCTGCAAAACCGGTAAGTGTCAAGAATGATCAGATTTGCATCATATTACACATAGGAATATCACCTTATTGTATCAAGATAAGACCTTACAATGTGTGTGTGTGTGTGTGTGTGTGTGTGAGAGAGAGAGAGAGAGAGAGAGCATCTTCCTCAAGAACAATTGTGAAAACCATCTTCCTCAAGAATAGATAGCATGCCAATTGATCCAAATGGTCTATCTGACATGCCACTTCTTGCCTCAACAATTAAGCATTGGGATAAAATTGCAGCCCAATTTCAAGAAGTGATATGGTAAAAGAAAATGTGCAAACAAAGAACAAACTAAGAGCAAGCTTGTTCTCCAAACCTCTTTTTAAGCCGTGAGAAAAGATGATCTGCATGGAGAAGGTCATACGACCTTGGGTAAGTTCCAAAAGCCTCACACCAATCATGGTATATTCCCATAAGTCCACGCTCATAAACGATTGGAAGTGTATCTGGAGCATGAACTGGGACCACGTTCATCACCCAAACCTTCTGTTGTGCCAAAGCTGCTGCAAATCTGTATGGTGACACATATTAAAGTTTTATTTTCTATTAGATATATGTATATGGGCTTTATAAGAACTAAAAAAAATGAAGTACCATCTAACATAAGGCAAAATTTACATGTCACAGGAGCATAAATTGAGCCAGTAGTTCTCTCAACATACCCTCCATAGATGGATTTCATGTCCATTACATTCCGGACATTTGACCAGTCAATACCCAAGCCATTGAGATAGGACTTGTTTACAATAGCCTTCCAGTGCTCTGCATCAGAAATCACTTTATCTCTATAGTTCAACCAATCAGGAAAATTTTCAAGCCTCTTGGGCCATTCCTCTGGCCACTCAGCACCACGTTGTTCAATGGCAGCTGGAATAGTATGCACACAAGTTTTAATTGGCACATACCTGTTGAAAAGAAATTAGAAGAAAAATTAAAGGAAATGCATTTACTTTCATGAAGAAAGGACATGAAATTAGGAAGGGGAAAGATGGGATATGACTCCATAACCAGTGACTATGACAGAAGTGTAGTCTCCACCAGAAATATAGTTCACAAAGTAGGGGCATTGACGATTTTCTTTTCTTTTCTTCCTTTTTTTTTTTTTTTTGATAAGCATTGACAAGTCTAGTAAACAGAAATGCCCACATGCAAGGTCCCAGTGCTAATGATACTAAGGTGGAATCTTCATTCCATACATCAAAGTGGTAGATTTTCTCTCTGCTCCTCAGGTCTTATTAAAAGGAACAAAAACAACACTTCTTTAATTCACGAATCAAATCACAAACTCCAGGTATATATAACATAGATGATGCATGCTGGAAAAGAAAGATATAAATAATGATGATATTATTCCAACTTACCAGGCAGCATCAGGGTTCTCATCTTCTTTGCATATAGGAGGGTTCTTTTTTCTTCTCAACTCATATATATCATTTGATTCTGGTTTCTGATATATTTTAACAGCCACTTCATTCATCTCATCAGTTTTATGAGCCAGGATATTCCAACAGATAGATGCCATCAATGTGGACATAGCTGAATAAAAAGATATCGTCAAGCAGGGACAGAAGCCAACATAAACTGTAAATTTGTATGAAATGAAACTAATTCGAGTATAGACTTTTGTAACTGCAAAGGAAAGGTTGTCATTCTATATGTTCCTGTAGGCCTTTCCAGCCTATAATCAACTAGAGTTTCTATCTTTGTGTCATGTCTTGGACAAGAAACAACCAGAAAAGTTATAGAAAAGAATGGCCTTCAATATATACAAATTTACAATTCATGCAGCACTCAGGTAAAATTTAAACATTGATTGAGCCCACACCTTCTTCTTCTTCAATATTGTCATGTTCAGTTGACAAAATAAAATATCCTGCAGGCCGCAGTATCCTGTTCATCTCCAGAAGGAGCTTCCCCCCTGTATAAGAGAGATGCATAAAAATATATCAAAATAAACAGTACATTATGAAAATATAACCACTATTAGAGAAATAGAAAAATTGAAACAAACCATTGGAATGCCAAGGTATGTTGCATCTCCCACAGTGAATAGCATCAAAAACACCGCTAGGGAAAGGAAGCCTTCTTGTTCCAAAGGGGCTCACGACTGCAGGGAAACCACGTTCAAGGGCAACTTGTGCCAAGTCTGCCTGGTCATTTCTCAATCCCAATGATAAAATTAATACTTCCTTGTCAAGGAGAGCAGCCACAAAGCTCGAATCTGTGCATCCGATGTCCAAAACTGTGCGAATATTCTTTCCCCATTCAATGTCTGGTACCATCTATTGACGCAAAATAAATGTTAAAACACAAGTTCATAATGGAGATGGAATTTAAAAAGACCAGAAAAGTTAGTTGAAGAGAATCATGTTGGCAGTCATATGATCAATTTTAAGGAACTTGGCTGACTGTCAGAAAACTGGACATATGGGATTGGCAGGCTCCAGTCATTGATAGCAGAATGTTACTAAACAGCTATCAATCCAGGAAGTAGAGGTTATTTATTTACTCAACCAAACCATGAACAAATACTGGGAATTCGTTCATTTGTAACCTAATCTTCATATAGCTAAGCATATAGGACCAATCCATATACATGCCAGACTAGGCCAACACACCAATCCATATGGCATTAAACAGAACAGAATGGAAAAACAGGATTCATGTTGCCAATCCCATATAGTTGGGATATGGCTTGGATGATGATGAGTCCAAAAGATTAGAATGTACTTTCTATTTCTTTTCCTTTTTTGTTCCCTTAGAGGGTGGTTTGTTGTAGAAGTTAGGGTTTGTTCACCTACAGAGACTTCAGCTGTACATATAAGAAGCTATCTAGCATTTTGTTTCCTTTTCAATGAAGGAATCAATTTTGAACTACAACTCTTCACTCTCCTTGAAAAGAGATTTTTCTCCAACTGTAGTCTGTAGGAACCATCGTTCCCTTTATTTTTTTATGAATATCATTCCTTCATTTTGCTTGTTAGGCACCAATAGGCTAGGATTAGGGTGGTTATACTTGCACCTTTTCTCCTCTCTTCATTTCTCTTCCTTCAATGTAACACCTTCCATTATTTTTATTGATCATATAACACCTCCATTAGAAGCTGCAAATCTAGTGTCCCTATCCAGTTTGTATGCTATGCATCAGCTTGAGTTTTTGACATACAGGGTTACCAAGGGGTAGCAGAAGGTTGACAAGTCAATACGTAAATATTCTTTTTCTTAATTAGCATCAATATATCATCTCTATATATGCTTAAAAGAGGATAGGTTGTTGTGGGACACTCCCAATATTTTAGGCTCTATTGGGTGATCTCCATGAAAGATTATACTTTGTATGCAGATCCTGTCAGTACACGATTTTTTGGCTTCAGAAACATTCTCCTTCTGTGAGTGTAAGCAGCATCTGGAAAGGAAGAAATATTAGGAATTTCTAGAATAAACTCTCAAACACTACCACCATTATCCGTAAAAGCAAAGTTTTTTAAATTAAGTCCTCACTTTGCATATAGTTTCCAGTAAAGACACCTAAATTTGGGAGCAGAGTCCTAGTCATCGCTGTATAGTGAAATTGACCTAAGAAAATGGAACTAGGCTCAAGTTGAAAAACAATTGGTTCTGTGAGGCACGTGCATTTTAGTCATTGGTTGGTGTGAGTGGGTGACTCCACTGAGGCTGATGGCATAGTTTGTCAAGGCATTGCCCAGGCAACATGGAACCAATCTAGGCAATAAGGCAACTGCCTAGGTGATAAAAATTAAAAGGCAAGCGCCTTATTATAATATTATTTCTGTAGGCGCATCTTATTAATATGTAGTTCATGAATCCTATCATATACCATGTATTATTAGTTGTCCAGGTGTGTCACCCAGGCAAAGGCTAAACTGAGCTTCAGAGGGCCTCTTCTTTTTTTCTGCAGTAAATTGAATAGGGTCACTAACAATTAATTTGTTTTTTTTTCAACTCTCTCTCTCTCTCTCATAAATCTTTTACTAGTAAAAAACTAAACCCTTATTTGGTTGCTAATAATTTTTCAACAAGAAATTACTCTTAAATGCTTATTATATTGTAATTTTTTTCTGACAAATAACAGAGACATTTCATTAAAACAAATATTCCACACTGCCCACACACGTGTATAGCAGTCCAAGAGAGTACAAAACAAGCTCCCAAAAACAAGGAGAAGAAAGATTATATTGTATGTGATGATTTATTTACCATGTTTTTATATGAAATTCATTGTTATTTAGTAAAGAACACTGGTCATTTTCAATTTACGCACAAGTTGGTTGGTATATGAAACAGGGGAACTAACCCAGAATTTAGCTTTTTTTTTCCTTTGTCAAATTCCATCTCCTAGGTGACTAAGGGCTCTATTGTCACTAAAATCACTTGCATTACATGCCTTGACAATTAATGCTAGAGGTGTAAATTGGGTACCTGATTTGAAGAACTTCCAACGCATCAAGCATGAGCCCTTGGAACAGGAGCCCTCAAAATTTAAGAAATGCTTTAACGCTATCCTACCTAAGTTGGTATGGTTGACATCTTACTCTTCTTGACAGTCTGCATTAAAAATGAGTTTTTAACATGGATATTTTTTTATTTAGCTTTTCCAACTTGACTCTAGCTTTTAACATGGATATATATATATATATATAGTGATCAGCAACTCAGAATTTATTTATTGATTAAATTAAATATATATATATATATAACAAGAAGTTGTGAGCAGAAGGAGAATCCCGAAAAAGAAAAAGAAAAAAAAACCACTAATTACAAACCAGCCCAGAATATAGATTTTCTTTGAATCCCTTGTTTAGCTAGTCCATCAGCCATACTGTTAGCTGATCTCCTAACCCATTTAACTTGTATCAACATGTCTTTAGATATCTGCTTGAAATGCCTGAGTTCATTTCTTAGCTTCCATATTACTCCTTCCCCCTTTTTAAGACAGTTTACAACAATCTTTGAGTCCCCTTCAATAATCAAACCGTTAATCCCCATTTCTTAGGCTTTTTCAACACCATACACTGCTGCCATCAATTCTGAGCTCACCACATCACCATGCTGAATAGGACCTGAGTACATGGCTAAAATATTCCCATTCTCTTGCCTTGTCACCCCACCAATACCTGATGGGCCAGGACTTCCCATCCAGCTACCATCAAAGTTTAATTTCCTCCATCCAGCCACTGGAGGGGACCAGACCTCATTTGTTTTAGATTTTCTAGAAGCAGTGTTAGCAATTGTTTCCCAAGATCTGAAAAAATGTTCTGTCTTAAAGTCAGCAAACAACTTTAGTGTTTTCACCCAATTGTTCCCCAAACAGAGAGGAAAACCACTCCCAAATGAAGTTAGCAAAAGGACAGGAAATTAGAAGATGAAATGCAGTCTCACTGTGTAGCTTACATAAGGAGCACCAGTTTGGGACAAACATCATTTTGGTCTTTTTTTCTGAAGTAGATCACAAGTGTTAATGGAACCATGGAACACTTCCCAACAGAAAGCACTGACTTTAGGAGGGATGGGCTGACACCAGACCTTCTTGACAGGGAAAAAAAGAGGGGAGGAGGTAGCAACAAGGGAATTCAGAAAGGATTTGCAAGAGAAGGACCCTGACTGGTTGAGAACCCAAACTCTAGAATTTGAATCACTGTCCCCCAAAACCACTGAACCCAATCTCATTCCTTTATATACCAAGTTTGCCAATGACAAGATGCATATTTTAATTGCTTGGACTTGTTTTTGTTGGGAAATGATTATGGAGACAATGAGACATGGATCAGCAGAGTCAGCTTAATTGTCAAAAGAATGAAGTAACAATCTTGGATGAATCCTTGACTTGTTTTCATTTCATAAAAGTATTTGAAAAGATATTATGAAGGTTTACCATGAATATATAGATTGTTGTAAAAGCAGGACATGCAGTTGAATGAGGTTTCTATAGGTGATTGTCCTGATGTCAGGATCAGGAAGCCAATCAATTTTGTCCAAGATTCCATGGCCTTTCAAGGACTGAACTATAATGAATACTTCATGGCACAGAATAACAAGTTGATGCTGGAGGTATAGTCAGGCAATTCAAAAGTTCCATTTTTATCTTGGATTGCTTGTTCTATTACATGTTGACTAGAAGCTCACAGAAATTTCAGTAAGATTTGAAGAATCCCATTGGGCATGGACCCATCTTCCTAGAGAGCAGGTCTTTTGAATAAATTGCTGCTTTACACAGTGTTCTTGAGAACAACAATCTAGAGAAGTGGGGTTTCCAAATGCAAACAGGTTTTTATGAGCATTGAGCAGCAAAAGAGAAGAATAGGAGTTGGCTGCTTCTTCTTTCTCTTATAGTTAGAGATATTTGGAGTTTCTTTCTCCCAGTTTTTTGGTGTACATTGAATTTTCTCACATAGACTTGAAACACTCACTTGGCATGTTCCCTGACCCTCAAGGAAGAAAGTAAAGGCTACATATATTGCAAATCTTGGTTAACTGTTGTCACTTTCTGAGAATTTAGAAGAGAGAAAAATAGGCATGAAACACTCGCTTGGCATGTTCCCTTACCCTCAAGGAAGAAAGTAAAGGCTACACATATTGTAAATCACGGTTAGCTGTTGTCACTTTCTGAGAATTTAGAAGAGAGAAAAATAGAAGAATTTTTTATAATTCCTAACAAATATTTCCAAGAATTCTCTGAGTTTTTGCACTATGCAGATTAATTGGGCCTTAGTGCTGAATTTGAAGGAATACAAGGAGCTTAATTGTAAAGATTACGGGAAATTTTGGTAACTATTTTAGGGAGTAGACCACCATAGTTTTGTTTATTGTGAACAGCACTTTACTTTCCTTTGGGATCTTTCATTCTCATTCCCTTTTTCATATATTTTTCTCTTCTCTTTTCATTTCTCCTCGTTCTTTTTCTTTTTTTTTTTTTTGGTCAAGAGTACACTATATTTACCAATAAATTGTCCACTTTATACTGCTAAAAATCAGAAATTATCTAACAGAAAAAAAATATATGTGTTTTCCCGTTCATAATAAGTTTCTCTATTGCCTATCCCCCCCCCCCCCAAGGCTCTGCACACATACAGGGAAAACAAAAGAGGATAATATGCAAGTTTTTAGTTATTGAACATAGCTACTTGTATATTACTGGGGGGCCTTAGTGAGCAAGGAGTGAATGGGGTTCAACTGTTTTGTGGAACAAGGCCACTACATGTTTTGGGGTGCTTAGCAAATTATATTTGTACATATTAATCATCTTTTTTAATATAATTCAAAAAAGTAAACGGCTACCAATCAAAAAAAGAATTACTGGCAAGCCTTTGTTTTGCAAAACTTTTATGTTTTTCTTTTTCCAGGTAAAATCCATAAGAATGAAACAACTGGGGTTTCAGAAGTGAGGAATAAACCTATAGAATTCTTGTAAGATAAGGTGAAACACTTACCTCTTCAATGGCTTCAATGTAGTTAAGAACTCCACCACTGAACTCAGACTGATTTTGAGGGAAATTAAGATATTCTTCAGACTGAATGATCCAGTTTTTCGTCTTGATGAATGCAGCAAGTTTGGGGTGTGCAACATTCCTATATTGTATCTGCAAACCATAGAATATTATCAAGAGTAGGTGATCAGTTGCTGGGCTTTAAAGACTATGAAGATTCATCCGGGTATTACCTTTGATTTGCTCTCTGGCCATCGTACTGGAGACACATAACCATCATGGGGAAGAGGAACAAGACACATAGGAGGTGTCCTGGGGCAACTCCTTTCCCGATGTCGATAGCTTTGTAGTTTCCCTGTGGTGCTTTCAATGTCAAGACATGGGATATAATTCTGCTTGCTTCTTACATTACACAATTTCCAAGTGTATTTGGCTCTTGAATCAAATAGAGGTCCCATCTTCTTTTTCTTATTTCCTGGAACTTTTGATCCAGCATCTTCATCCTCCATTTTCTCTTTAGTTTCCTCTTCACCTGAAGCATTTGAATCTATACTTTCTTCAGTATCTCCATTGACTGCTTCTTTATCTTCTTCTTGTTCATCTCCTTCCTCCTCCTTTTGCGGCTCCTCTGTCTCAAGTCCATCTGGTCTGTGGGTAGCATTCCTTGCTAACACCTCTGCTTCTTTTGGATCAATTTCCTCTCTTTTTGGATTCAATGCATCTTTCCCATCGTTGTTCCTGACATCAATATTATTATCGGGTATAGATCCATTTCCCTTTTTATCATCCTTATCTCCGGTATCAGACTCCACCTTCTTATCACCTCTGGGCACTTCACTTTTACCTGGCTCATTCTTCTTTGGCTGCGTTCCAGAATTTCTTCCCTTATCATATACTGAAACGGGCTCTGATATGTCACCAAAGCTACTCCTTTGAGAGGTAACAGAAGTTGAGGAAGACGAAAATGCAGACCAAACAAAAATAAAAATCAGACCCAGAAAGGTGACTGCCACCATTTTCGTGCAGAAACCATGTGGGCGTTTGGCGTGGCGAGCAAACCGCGCTAGCACCATTTTAACACGGATAAACCGGTAATAAACGAACCAAATTTTTTAACAGGAATAGAGGACAAGATCTACACTCATATGCAGAGGAAATAGAACTACACGATAAGAAGATGTACAAAGACAAAGCTAGATTTTCCTCTGCAACAAAGAAATCCTTTCAACCCAGATGGAGTAAAACAGCATCTGGAGACAAAAGTTGACAGAACTCAGCAAACACAAAGCTTTCCAGTTTCTACAATAGAGATGAAGAAATCACCATTCATTGCAGAATAAGAAATAAGTAGCATATACCTCTATGGGGCAGAAATTTTGAGTACCAAGATTGGAAAATTCAGTAAAGAAGAGCTGCAGCTGCAACTGTTAAGTCTCATATACCGCCTGCATCTTTTTTCTATACCAAAAACTTTATTTTTGATTATCATATTAAGGTAGCAAAGATTAAAAGTTAAAGAAGGAAAGGCAGGCAACTGAATCTGTTCAGGAATAAGTTAGAAACAAAAACCACAGGAAGGTTCAGATCACATTGTCGGGCCAACGAATTTTCCTCTCAGGTAGACGGAAAGTCCACTTCGGACCCCGGCAATCGGCGAAAACGTAGCAAAAAAGTGAACAATTTTTTCTTTTTAATTTCATACATTAGAAATGATGGTTGTATTATGTTCCTCCGGTATCGTAGCTAAGCCTTTCTATATTATATACGAAACAGAATAGCTCGGTCCCGTAGCTCAGTTGGTTAGAGCGTTGGTCTTATGAGCCGAAGGTCGCGAGTTCGAGCCTCGCCGGGACCATCGTTATTTTATTTTGCTCCAAAAACAATAGCTGTCTACGAAAAACACAACTGACGTGAACCATTTCAAAACCTTATACGACGGCGACCATCCCTTAGGCTATGTCTGGTTAAAATGCAAATAAATTTGTACTGATACAAAATTATGTCAGTGTAAATGATTTGAGTGTAGATTCTGACTTATTGTTGTTTCAAATTTTAGCTTATTTTGTCTGATTGTAGTATAAATGAAGTAAATTAAGACATGAAACAGAATAAAGTGAAATCAAAAACAAAATTAAACCATAAGTTGCATTTTTTACATTTGTACTCCCATGCATTTGTATTAGTGCAAATAAAATCGCACTGCAACCAAACACGGCCTTAGGCTTTGTTTTAGAAAGTACAAATATGTAGAGTGCAAAGTTTTGTATTTTGTATTATTTTATATGTATTTGTATTCTTTCCAAAGGTTCAGTTTTAAAGAAGTACAAATATAAATATGTAGAGTGCAAATCATTGTATTTTGTATCATTTTATATGTATTTGTACTGTACGTATTTGTATTTATATTCCTTCCAAACTGAGCCTTAGGTTTTTTTATTGTTTCTATGATCATAGTAATAAAAATATTCTTTTAGAAAATACTATAAAAATGAAGCAAGGGTCAAGGTATTTAATGTATTAGTGCATATCATATCATATCATACATATGGGTTTGAAGAGATTTAGATTGGTGTCAAAGATGTCCCATTGTGGGCAAGTCTAAGTAGCTTCATGTTTGAATTTTTTATTTTTTATAAAATATTTTAAATAATTATTTTTTTTCCTATCCCCTTAACCCCTCAACCCTAGTGGCAGCAGGATTTGATCCCAGATCTATGCTACAACGATCAACTCAGTGTGCCATTGAGGACTTAATACACTATAATCAAGTATATTCTTTTTTCAATGGCTCAAGGCCTGCAACGTACGTACCCATTGATTAAGACCATCAATTTCTGAATAAAACCATTAGCTTTACTCAATTAATAGATTGGGTTCGACTATGATATGGAAAAGATATGATTTGGAAAAACAACTGAATAATAAATTAAAATCATAAGCGTGGTAGCGAATCAAGTGTCATTTGTCAAAATTCATGGGTGGGTTTTGATTGGTCAAAACTCTTTCCAACAAGACAAAAACATTTAAGATCATATTTCAAAAACCAATTGATCATTGTAACCAAATAAAAAAAAAAATGAAGGTACTATAACCAAGCAAGCAAACAAGAAACCAAACGGTAGCCAATGTCAAATTAGGCAGATAAAGATAGTGAGGAAATACTTTGAAACCCATTATTAAGAAAGAAGAAATCAAGTATCTTTGAGGCCCACCCCATAATTATAGTTTATAGACAGTTTTTTTTGTCACCGTTTCTATGTTATAGTATGAAAAGTTGTTGACATTTCTATTGGTATAGAAAGTGAAAGGTCATCGTCATCAAAGAGAAAAATGCTTTCAAGCTGCTCATTAAAATTCAAAAAAAAAAAGTTCATTTGCATTAAGCATGGAGTGCAAATGTTGTGAATGAAAACTTAAGACTTAATTTGAAAGGAATATAAATACAAATATGTAGAATACAAAACCTTATATTTTATATTATTTTGTATGTATTTATACTGTACATATTTACATTTATACTCTTTTCAAACTGAGTCTAAATCTAAATTCAAGGGTAAAAGTATCGAGATGCGCAATACACAAATCTTGTGCATCAATCATTTTACAAATTCGATACTTGTATTTTGTCTGTCTTGGTTGTCTTCAAAATTACATAAAGGCTATGGTTTCACATTTGTTTTTATTCAAATGCATTAAAACTATCAAAAAGCTTATATTCTGAGTATGGGTAGGTTCAAAAATCGAGATACATATAGGACAATATGCACCAATCCGTTCTGATATTTTGAACTTGTTTACATCTTTCTCAGATTTTGCTTTTTTTTTTCTAGTTACTTACAGTATAGATAAAGTAAAATAAAATCAGAAGCAAAATAAACATAAAGTAGAAGAAAACCAGAATTTGCACTCCCATGCATTTGTGTTACTGTAAATTATTGCAACCAAATAAAAACTGGAAAAATACTAAAAGAGTATGATTTTAATTCTGCATTTGTGGGTACTCATTTCTGTCAGACATTTGTATGAAAGATATCCAATTTCGGCATAGTATTTATTACATACTATATTAGCTGTATCTGTATGTTTTAGAATCCAATACATAAATTTAGGGAAATCGTGAAATAGGGTATAATTGATTGGGATGTAAATCCACAGACATGGAAAGCAGGATCCTCTTCATCTGTACCATCATCATCCGAGCATTGCAATAGGCTCACAAGTCATAATACTTTCCTGAAAGAAACAGTGGAAATAGCTAGAAGAATTAGGGGCAGACAAAAAGATATGGGTACAAGTAATAAGAAATGATTTAACAGTGGATGTAATTTTACATAAAACCAATGGATTAGCGAAACAGGAATCAAGTAGCAGATTATATATAGTTGGGATAAGGCATGGATGATGATGATGATGAAAAAAACTAATGGAAAATCTTAGAATTCAAATATCACAAAAATATGCAAACAAATTTGCTTTAGCAAGGGGATGAAGTGGAGATTCAGGTTATGTTTGGTTAAAATTCTGCTTCAAATAAATCACTTTTTGAAAAATGTTAGTTCCATTGAGCAAAAAATTGTTCCTTTTTTGAAGCTGTTTGTTTTTTCAACCTCAAAGAATCAATTCTTAGAATGAGATTTGAGCCTAGAAAAAGAATTAGTTCCAAAAATTTACATAAATTCTAACTTAAAAGTGATTCTTAGAATCACAAAATTCATCAGAATTAATTCTCTGAAAGCATTCCAAATGCACTCAGATGCTTCATTCCAGAAACTACATTTATTCTCAGTAATGATTCCCATCCCAATATAAATATTCCTCATCTCAGATGAAGCGCCTACAAACGCTTCACATGAATAATCTGAATCTGTTAGGCAAATGTAATTTCTAAATCAATCAAATGCAATAGGCTTTGATCAGCAATAGGGGTTGTCCTCCTCTCCAAAAAATGGTAACTAAGGGTGTCAATGGACCGGTTTTAGATTGGATCCATCCAGTCCAAAATCAATTTGGACAGATTGGATGGACCAACAAGATATATTGGATTGGACCAATCCAATTCAAAATATTTATTAGATTGAATTGGACCTGGTCCGTCCGTAATAAATTTATATTGGATTGAGTTGGATTAAGTCAATATCTGATCAATTAGTATAAGATAAGAATATAGGTGTCAATGTACTGAGTTTGGGTTGAAACCAATCTAAGTTAAAACGAATTTGAACAGATTGGACGGTCCAGACATTAAATTAAACCGGCCCAAAATGGTCTAAAATATTTATTGGATTGGATCCGGTCCATTTGTAATGGATTCACATTCGACTGGATCAGATTGGACCAAATCCAATCCAATTGACGCCCCTAATTGTAACAGAAGCCTTTTACAGAAAATTTGCAAGGCTTAATTTTAAAACATAAGTATTCACGATACCCTTAACCATAAAGAACAAAGATTTAATTTTATTTATATGATTATATCCCAACACAAGTCCTCTCTGGGTTATTTCACAGCTGATTTTTCTAATCGGATTGTCTGCATTGCTTCCTTTTGCCATCTATTTACTCAATGAACATTTATTGCCATTCGTTTTAGCTCAATTTGATTGCAGGAGCTTTTCAGATGAGAATTTCTGTCAAGTTTCTACAGCTGCAATGTCTAGATTCAATGTCGAACTGCATATAAAATGAGTTTCTTGTAATCTGTGTTTAAACCGTTAAAGCTATAACTGAAAAGCCAATAGGGCATTAGCCTATATTTTTTAGGCTAAGGTTGTATTTGGTACCATTATTACTTCTACTTAAAATATTTTAAGATGATGAATACAAATTTTATGGGAATATATTTTTTTTCTACCACAAAGACATTGAATTATCAATACAACATTGGATATCACTGCTGCTTCTTTAGGAAATGTCAAACTTGGTGTTCCTATTCAAAATGCCAACACTTAATCTAATGTATATATTTTTTTAGTAGAAACATCAGCTAGACAATTTCTCAAAATTTTGTATTAACCAATACAAAGCGTTGCTGGATAAATAAAAGTGACAATGATACTAAATATAATCTGAGTTGCTGGATTGCAATGTTTTATCAAGATTGAGTGACAGGACAAAGAGAAACTCCACAGCCAGAATGAATGGTTGTACAAAACCATATCCAATATGGCTGGAGCTTTTACACTGCAAAGGGCTACATTCTTGCCATTTACTAACCCAACTGATCTGACTTTAAGATGGATGGCCATGGACCCATGGCAGCATGACTTTTGCTACTCAACTCAGGCTCTAAGCCTCTAACCTCTCCAAAATTATCCCTTTCCCTTTCTTGTGTACACATACATAATGACAATTGATTAGCCTCTAACCCTACTACAATATGCACGTGCAGCGGTACACATCTTGACAGATGGACCCATCACAGCACCACCACTGGATGAAGTGTGTCCGTGTGTGTGTCAATGACTGGGTGTGGCAAAGAGATTTCCGGGGGATAGTGCCTTGTCGCCTTCTCTTCTCACATCTCACTTCTCAGCGAAAAAGGAAGTGACTTGGCTCGCGATTCGCGAGAGCCAGAGAGACAGACAGCCTGATTGCGCCACTTCCTATCGCGGCAAAGACCCCTGCATAAGCATAATATGCATACGTTGCCTTGGGCGTTGGGTGTTGGATTTTTCAAACGATGTTTATGTGTGGCTCTGTTTTCCTTATCCCCTCCCTATCCCCCTTTATTTTTACCAAACATTCTCCCTCGATCCTTTATATATGCATGGAGGAGGACTATCTCCTTCCTTCTCAAGTCTTTCAAAACCGGTGAGGTTAAATGCCCTTCTGAGACATGTCAGAACAAGAGAATGGACAGCTCCCAGAAGACGACGACGCCATATTGCCAGAACTAAAGCTCCCAGACTTGCTGTTAACTGATACAGTTAAAGCACTCCACGCATCCATTGAAAATGAGTGGGACTCCCTCCAGCGCTCCGCATGCCAGACAGCTGCCGGAAGAGCCCTGTGGAACCATGTCATCCAGGACCCCCTTGCAGGGGTTCTTGCCGGAGAGACATACCTCCGAAGCCTTCACGAGAAGATGAGGAAAGACCGGCTAAGTAATGCCCGTGAAGTGTCGGGGGTGATTCTTGCAGTCCGAACCCTCTGGTTTGATTCAAAACTTGAATCCACTCTCAACTCCTTCAATGGCGAAGCCCAAGTTGTTCTCCTGGGCGCAGGTTGGTGATTCTTCTCTATTGGGCCTAATGCATATATCACAGCCTACTCTACTCTACCATGTCATATTTAGACTCACTCACTCACTCACCTCCTTCTCTGCCAGAAAATAAGATCTTGTAACTGGTATCCCTTTTAGTGGTCTGCTGTAAGCATTTATCGTATACATGTTCATAATTCCTGATTATCCACATACTTTTAAGTATTGCATTAGATTGTACAAAATACAAATCCTATCCTTAGTTGGAAGATTGTTCATCACCAGTAACCCATGCATCAAAAGGCTAGGAGGCCCAGGACGGTCTAATGACTGTAATCACCGCATCTTTCACGCCATGAACCGAGATTACATCTGCGCCCCACATGTACATCTCAGCATGCATTGGGAGATGTGAATTCCCATGAACCCAATTACCCAACCCAGTAGGGCAGTAGGTCTAAATAAAAACTAAAAAGTAAATTTTATTAATGAGAAAAATAGTCATACAAAGAGGGAAGAACCATAAACCAGCTCCCCCTCAGGAAGAGATCAGATATCCCGTAAACTAACTGAATTAAGCATCAGAAATACATTAAATAAACTTACAAATTTTGTATAGCTGCCCATGAGGACGGGACATGCCTCCTGAGTCCTGAGAAGGGTTTTTGTCAATGAGTGGGAAATAAACAGAGGTGTGTAATCACTGAAGCATCCTCCATCCCCCTGTCTATTGACAAATATGCCCCTCATCAGGATGTTTGTCACAGCCTGAATTTCACTTGTGCAATTTTGGAGTGAAGTTTGCAGAAAACCCATTCATGATAAAATTTTTTGTCAACTGCCATGTGTATTGTGCACAGCTTGCATCCAGGAAAATAATCCGCATTTTGCATGTAAAAATAAATGAAATTTGTTTCTACTTACTGTAAGCCAATAAAGTTCACACTTCATAGTTCCAGTCCTTATTTTCAAATTATTCTCCATAAATAACAAATACATTAAAAAAAACTTGGGTTACTGTTCATCTATAGGCATGGATGCGAGGGCATACCGTCTGACCTGCCTGAAGGAGAGTAATGTCTTTGAGGTTGATTTCCCCAAGCTCTTGCAAGTAAAGGCCAGTCTTTTGCAGGCAGCAACTGGGTCTAGCAATGAAAACCAACAGTCCAAAATGATGGCTAAAACCCTAACCAGAGTAGCAGCTGACATACGAGACGATGATTGGTTTGAGAAGCTTCAGAGATCTGGTTTCATGCCTGAGAAAAATACCATATGGATCCTTGAAGGTATCCTCTATTACCTATCCCACCTCAATGCCATGCAGGTACTGAAGACAATTGCTGCTAATTGCACATTAACCCACACAATCCTCCTTGCGGATTTCATGAACAAGTCTTCAACCATGATTGCACATTCCACCTTCCATTTCTATAGCGACTGGCCAGAACACCTCCTGCCGTCCTTGGGGTTTTCTGATGTTAAGCTTTCGCAGATTGGAGACCCAGATGCCCATTTTGGACTCATGAACGACCCTTTAAATCTATTCAACAAGCTCCGCAACCTGCCAAGGTCACTTCAAACGCACCCAGATGATGGAACACCATGCAATCGCCTGTATTTGGTGCAAGCCTCAGGCTCACCCGATCAAATCAGCTCATAATACATGGAACACTTGATGATCTTGTTCTTTTTGGAATTACAAAATGCATTTAAAGAACTGACTGCCACACAGCATTGAGTCATTCAGTGAATTTGGGAGTCAGTGGTGGTTATTTTCTGTAAGATAATGTTATATTATAGATTAAATTGTCAAATAAGTTGAGAATCAAACAAGATTCTTTCACTTGGATTCATTCCCTCACCCCTCTCTATTGGCTATTGCCTATTGGCAAAATATCAGGCACATGGGATGAAAGTTGTTTTTATAGCTGCTTGATTCCAACAGTGAAATGGATCATATTGGACAGAGAATCCAATCAGTGGGTGTCAAGGCCAACTTGTCTGGCCTATCAAGTCAGTTTGAAGCCATTTCTAATTCATAACATTCTATAAACCTCTGTTCCATCAAGTTAATCCAGCAAAGGGAGGGCAGTTGTATCAGAATTCCTAGCTAAAATACCCTTTTTTATGGATCTTAGCTAAAGGAGTTGGAATGCCTAATCTAAATAGGGTTTATTTAGTACCTAGTTTACTGCGTATAAAATCAATGACAACTCTCATTATCAAAGACTCTGTCATTCTGTTCCTTTCAAGACCTATAAATGGATCCCAAAGTACTGATTTGATTATAGTTCTTGTCCTCTTCTCTTCTAAACTCGTATTAATGTATTTTAGAGGTAACCACCCTCAATATTCTATCATTTTATAAGGTACCAAAGCCTCTATTAATTTATCACTTAACAAATGATGTCTCCTTGGGGCAATAATCATGAAATGAATTCTGAAGTTGCAATTTCTTCAACTGAAACTCTTGATAATGTGTCTTCTTCGATCTGTTTGTCGATGTATGCCCAAAATCTGCTACCTGTACTGTTAAGATAATGAGATTGTAAAACTTCAACGAGAAGATACTTGGTTCACCATTAAACTGGCATTGAGCAAACTTGTCCTCAATGAGTAGAAAAAGTTTGTTGGCATGGTTCATATGATAGAGGCAGATTTATATGCATGGGGGAAGTAGAGAAAACGGTGCTTTTGTGTGCTTTTGTTTGTATATGTTTTGTCTTTACTTTTCTTATGGCTGTATTGGACCCAAAGTTTTGGGAAGTTGCTTTATATTTTTCACCTGCTGCCTATTTGAGTGTGCAGTGCAGTTTTCTTTGATTATAATATTTACTCAGTTAATTGTCAAAAAATATAATCAGTCTATCCTAAGAAAATTATCAGTTGAACCTGATTAGACTGAAGTACTCCCTTGGACAATTCAATATCCAATGTTGTTTTCAAACATACACCGTATTGCTTGAATTGTCGTCCTACATCAAATGAAACACTAAAGATAAGTAGAGGCAGGTTCTCATGTACAAGATTCTTATAGAAGCCCAAGAAAAAGAAAAGGAAAAAGATAAGTTAAAACAAAACTCCAAGCTGAAAGAGTATGTATATGGAATGAATTCGCACGATAATGAAAGATCAAGTATGGGGATGTATCCCTGAAAGTTCAATCAATTTGTTAATGTACTTGGGTATGGAAGGATCGCCATCACAACAGAGACGGCAACAGATTCATAATTTTAGTTATGTCCATTTGCTAAAATCTCTTTTCTTTAGGGGTGGGTTGCTTAATAAAATAATACAATAGAAAAGGATATATCATGTAGCATAAAGCATACAAATCATTGGAAGGGGTAGAAAATTGCTGACTTATAAGATCACCTAGCACGATTACAGCTACAAATCTTACAGGATTGTCATTATCAAGGAATGAGGATGAATTCTTCAAAATTAAACAGAATTTGCAAGCCTATTGCATTGAGAAAACCATGGCTAAGCTTGATCAGAAAGAAAGAAATGCATCCATATTCCATGTCTGGCAGATATTCTGCTATTTTAAGAAATAAGAACCCATTTGCAACCTAACTATAGCAATATGTGACATAACAAAACAGTATAATAGGTTTCGTGTTCATCCCAGAAAAATCATTATAGCCTTAGAGGCTGGAATATAGCGGTTTCCTCCTTGACGAGAAGAGTGACAACCAGTTCGGCAGTTATTTCCTTGGTCTACCTCTTAAATGAATTTAGTAAAGCCGAATTTTGGGGGCTACAATTTGAGGGAACTGAGACCTTTTCGAGATTGAGGGGTGTTTATAGATGACAAATTTAACTCGGACCCTTTAGGCAATAGGGTTTTTATCAGCGCTGAGATGTTTTCTTTTCTTCAAGGGCTGAGGCTGGCGGTGTCTTCAGGCTTTTCGAGGCCGGAGACTGAAAGAAACTCCCAAATGGTAATTGGACGGATGGAGGAAATGTCTAGTTCGTGAGTGCATCCCCGTTCCATTAGAGAGGTGCCATCTTTGGATTCCAAATTGAACAGTGCATTCAAAGACCTACAAATTCAATAACAAACTCTTTGGCTAGAGGTGCAAATAGGGAAGAGTTGTTGTATGTGCTGTCCAGGGAGGTAAGCGATATTGTATAATGTTGGGTACTTCTGATTGTTAGGAGTTGCTGGCTGCTCATAGCATTGCAGCTGATACTCTATAATTATTCAGAATCATTTACTGCTTTTAAAAATCATAAGGAGTTTTGATAGAGACAAGTGATTACAAAACAACATTAAGTTGATGGCATAAACGAACATACAATCCTTCAGAATCACTTGCTGCTGTTGAAATCAGACTAAATTAATGTGGTAATTCAGAAAAAAAATAATAATATAACTATCGAGATGGTTGAAGAGAAAGGAGGAAGCACTTGGCAGGAGACAGACGATGCCCGGGAACTTCGAGAGTTCTTCTTCTGCTCCCTCAGTAAGTCCTTTGGTCCTGTTGCATGAGCAAAGAAATAATTGGGCTCGGAGAAGGCGGAGGTAGAGATGGAAGAGAAGTCCGTTCAGATGCCGATGGAGAAAGCGGCGGCGGCAGCGGGCTGGAAGGATGAGAGAGAAAATTGAAATTAAAAGCAGAATTAGGTCAAGCTCGTTCTGAATCTTCTGATAATATATCGCCTTGCTATGTCATGTGGGTAAGTATAGGTGGGAAATCCGGATTCCGCGGACATACCCTCGTTGCTGAATTACAAATTCTTAATTTGTAGGGAGTTCAAATCACCTCCCACAGCACATTCCCGCCGTGTATTAATAACATCTCCTGATGATAACATTATCATTTTTTATACATTACTCGGAGATGTTTCTAATAAAGGGCGGAGATATGTTTTGAAACGATGTGAGGGACAATCTTATAAGGGGCTGATTTGATCTCATTCAGTAGGATGGCAATTTTGCGAGAATTTTCAAATGTCCGATTAGTATTATCCGTTTATCATGTTTTGGTTTTGAATTTAGGATATCCTTTACATTTTTTCCTTCCTTTTTCCTTCAAACTTAAACCCAATTACATTCAAACATTACACATTGCCAACTCTAAGTATCCAAATATGAACCCGAATACATGTCGTCAAATATCTTATATATTTTATAAGAAGTGATATAAATAGTAAAAAAAAATTGAGATATGATTTAAACTCTTGGCCTCCTATTATAGGTATCTTCAACATTGGCCTGTCACAACATTTATACTAAGGCGACGTTTGTTTGAGGTGGAAAATCGAATCGGGGTAAATTTTACACCCCAGTTCTGTAAAATTTTCCTTCTTCTCCACTGAATGGTCTCCTTTATATGAATAGTCGAAGAGAGGGTGAGAAGACCTCCTCTCCTTTGATCGTGAGAAACCTCCTCCATCCAATGGTCTCCATCCAAAGAAGAGCTCATCGGCCATTAACATCCTATCACCGGCCGTTAACATACTCAGAGTGCAAGCTTATGGAGATGAAATCATTGTCGTTGACGGAGAAAAAGATCCGCGGGCTCGATGTTGACTCCATGGAGTTTCAGAGCATATCTCCTTCCAAACCGAGCCTAAGGCAAAGGGTTTCGGTTTCCTGCACTAAGGTCGGCTCTAGCCTTTAGGTTTATTTATTTAACAGGCTGAACTGCCTCACCTGCAAACCTTCATCTCTAACCGTTGGAAAATATTTTCCAACTCTACCAGCTCCTCCTCAATCCTCTCTATTGCTCATTGCATTCTGCGACTCGCTGCCGGAAATACTGAATCCTCTTGAGGCCACCTGAAACTGCCAGCCCATCTTTGCCATCCTTCCTTGCATTTGAGTATCCTATGATTCTTTCAGCTTCTTCATCAAGAATCGATACCCATTTAAGGATCTGAGGAGATTCTGTGAGAAAAGCTTGTTATGCTCTTGCAGCGCAACAACGTTCCCTTCGTCATCTCATCTTCTACAGTTGCAGTCTTTTTTCTGGCAGCGCAAGCTTGGACCTTAGCCAATAACATCTTGTTCTGTGCTTTATCATCGTTGAGGAACTCCTCTGTGTCTTTTAGTTTGTGAACCTTTCGAGCAATCTCCACTGCTATTATCTCCTTCTCCTTCCCCAAGCCTGAGAACATCCATTCGAGGCTCTTCTATGCCACCATGCTCGCACTGAGTTTCAAAGCAAAGCAGAGTTTCATAACAGAATTTCACTTTTACATCAAAACAACCAAACATGAGAGAAGAATTCCAGGACACCCTGGTTCAATTTTCCATCGATCACTAAGCCGGGATCAAATTTTCCATCAGTGTAATTTTGAATTTACACCTCTACCAAACACAGCCTAAGAGAATTACCACATTTTTACCTAAGTGATGTAAAATTAGGTGAAAGCTATAAAGTATTGAAAATTTAGAATATCAAAGATGTAATTTAAAAAAAAAAATGTATTTGGATATGTATGGATACAATGGAAAATTTAATATCCAGTAATCTTTATTATTTATGGTATATTTGAAATATTTAAGTTTTGGTGCATGTCGCTGACAATGTCAAAATTGAAATAGTGCAAATTTGTAAATACCCTTGTTCTTATCATTGTTCTTAGAAAATATATCAAACACATAGAGATTGATTAGTTAATAGACTTAGGGTCCATTTGGTTCATATATAGCCGAGGTTATAATCGGAATGATCAATTTTTCTTACCCATTTGGTTTAGATGATAATCTAAATCTGAAGTGATTAAAATGGATTATCATTGAGGGAATACTCGTTCTCTCAAATGGGGGAAATGTCGTTCTACCATTAACGGAAATAGGATTCCAATTTTGTGCAATTCCAAAGCCCCATTCATGTGACCAAATAGACCCTTAATTTATCGACTAGGGAAGAAACTCATCAAATTTAATTTATGTTACCATCTCTTGGGCTTGTATGAGCAATTTGGATTTTAAAGAAAAGTTTGTGAAGTTTATACATAATGTACTTAGTTTGGATCGAAATGTCAATTTATCAATAAATGGTCACATTAAATGCCTCTATAATGGTAATAAGCATCATTTGTTTTGTTGTCAAACCTCGTAGAGAAGATCGCTTACCTTAGGGGTGGGCAAGAAAAATAGAAAAACTAAACCGAGCTGAAGAATTAATCGAAATTGAACCGAAAATTCAGTAAAACCAAATCGGTTGGATCAATTTCAGATAACCAATATAGATAACCAGTGATTAATCAGACTGACTAGTGTATATATATATATATTTACATATTTTATTATTTTATGTATATTTATGCATATTATATATTTTTTATATATTATAAATTAATGAATATATATTTATAATATATAATATATAATTTATTATTTAAAAATATAATATTTTATATATATTTATATTTTTTGTATAGTTATATATTTTTTATAATATATATTGTAAATATAAAAAAGCGATGGTTAACCAAACCGGTCAACCAGTTAACCGATCGACTCGGTTTGGTTTCGGCTATCAGTTTTTTAGAAACTGGTAATAATGGTTAGGTTTCAAAAAATAGGCCCATGGTTCAACTAACTGAACCGTGAGCACCCCTATCTTATCCCCAATTTATTTTTATATTTAACAACTTTATTGTTCAATATTAAGATTAAGTTGTATGACAATCTGAGTATGATTGGAATCAAATTAAGCTTTAATCAAACCGTTCAGACTCAAGTTTGATTAAGCTTGATTCGAGTTCGATGCTAATGAAGTTCAAATCTAAAGATAAGTACAACTAGTGATTTGTTTTTTAAAGCCAAAACAAGTTCAATTAGTTATTGGAACTCGAATTTAACTAATAAAATATTTGACTTAAAAACCTCGTGAGACTAGTTCAATTAACTCTAGGTGTCAGGGTGGGTGGTTGAGAAACCTAAGAAACCATCTAAGAAAGCCCTAGTTAACTTTGAAGGGATCAAGCAAGCTCCTTGCAAGTAGTCATGCATCTTGGAGACTTCTAATCAATGTTTTAACTTTTAAGCCTAGCCCAAAGGTTGAACTGTTTCTATGTAATCAATCACGAGTGGGTCAGCGTTCAACTAATCAACATTTATTTTTATACAACCACTAGCGAAGGCCCTGTGTTGCAGGGGCAAAACATGATGGTAAGTGACTTGTCAAAGGTAAATTATTACATAGGAAAAATTTGCAAAAGGTAAATTTTTTAATTACAAGTTTATTGGAAAAAATATATATTTCAAATAAATACAATTTTATGGATAGTAATATATTTAATTTAATCATGGCCATCAAGCAATAGAGTGAAAGAGGGAGAGATGACTTTTGTCATTGTATTTTTGTTTTATATAGTAGAATAATTGTAAATAGTTAAATAATAATTAATTTAATTTAATAAATAAATAAATAATTTTATAAAATAAATGAAATAAATAGACAATCAAGTGAGAGAGTAAACATATATAAATATATACGCGATTTTATGTCTTACTTTGCTAGCAATAATAATTTGCTAGATAATTAAATTATTAACTAATTAAATATTTTAGTAAAATAAGTAAATAAATAAATAAAATGTTATGTATTATCAACACAAGATTGGTAAATGCTATCTCAAATTATTTAATTAATTAATTTATCGTTGTTAATGGGTCAGATTGAACTACTGGGCTACTAAGCCCATGAACAGGCTTAACCCGATTTGTGGTCTGGCTTGGCTTAAGACTTGGCATGCAGACCAGCCCAACCCGTGGCATGGTATGGGCCCGTGCAGGCTTAGGATAAAATAAAATTTAAGATCTTCTTTAATTTTTTATCTTTTTTTTTTTAATTTCAAGATCATCAAAATTTTTAAAAAACATGGCTTAGCTCAATTCGTGGCTCAGCCTAGCCTAAGACTTGGCCCATGGACCAACCTCACAGGCTCGCATAGGCTTGGATCATATATTATATACAATAATTATATAATATATTAATATATAATTTTATTTTCAATTTTATTATTGCATATATAAACAATTGTACACATCAAAATTCATATAAAATAAAATTTTAAGATCTTTTCTATTTATTTTTAATTTATGTTAAATTTTACATTATTTTTCAAAATTTTTAAAAAAATATGGCTTAGCCTGACCTGGCCTAAGACTTGGCCCGTGACACGTTACAGGCCCACACGGGCACGGGCCATATATTATATATAGTAATTATATAATATATAATTTTATTTTCAAATTTATTATTCCATATATAAACAATTGTATACATCAAAATTCATATAAAATAGAATTTTAATATCTTTATTAAAGTTATATTTATTTTTTAATTTATATTAACTTTTCATTATTTCTTTTTCATTTTTTTTAAAAAACATGGATTAACTCGATTCGTCGTTTTTGGCCCGACCTGGCCTAAGACTTGACCCACGGACCAACATGATCCATGGCACGACACAGGCCTACATGGGCTCGGGCCGAGGGGTGTGCCGGTTCAACCCCTTGAAGTATAGCAGGGGAGGGAAGCATGACACAGCCCAACACAACTCAATTGTAAATAAAATGAGAGATAAGAACAATTTTTAACAAATATGAAAAAAGGTAGAAGTTTAGTGACACCGTTGTAAATAATTATAGGGTAAATCTATTAAACTATCCTTACTGTTTGCAAAATTGACTAATTCTACCCTTACTATTTACAATTGAAATGTTGGTAAACACTAGCAAAAAAAATGAGATATCAAATTTGCCCTTCACTATTTATAAAATTTTAAAGATAAAACCCAACTGATGAAGAACCTCTGATTTCTAATTTTTTCCAAATAGAAATATGGCAAAATGGTGGTTGACTCTCGAACAACGTTTACTATGTTCCCAGCTGGGTTGTATAAAACAGTGGTGGCCGAGTACGACCGCCGAATATCAGACGGGACTTGGTTCGTGTTATTACTACGATTAAGAACCAGAGAACTCAAGTCATCATAGATATATCCAGGCTCCTTTGTTTTTGGTAAGTAGGTCTAACCCAATGTTAGAATCAACCCAAAGCACCAAACCATAGTGCCAGCGCAAAAGGGTAGTGGAATACAGAGCTTCATATTGGAATGACTAAAGGTTTTCATATCTACATGTGTGAACTTGGTCAATATGTTCCTTCCACATCGACTCAAATTCTGAAGCCCACGACTATAGAACGAAAATGAAACTCCACCCAAGAGCCGGTTACCCTCTAAAATAAAGCAGTATCAGTTTGAATTAAAAAAAAAACAAATAAAAAATAAAAAAGGGAAAAAAAAACTTAAGTCCACCTCCCAGGATGAAAGCAAAAATATCAGTCGAATTCTCCAACCTAAAAAACCAATAGAGAATCAGCTTACATCCGTCAACTCCAACAGTTAGGCGGAAGATCCAAAAAGAAAATATATACAACTGGACTCGGTACAGATCAGAAGCTGAAGCAGAGTCCCCCCTTACTCCCTTAGAATCAGTTTAGTCATCCAAGAAACTACTTAAAACCACAAATAAGGAAAACCCAATTGAAGCAATCCTTGCTCGTCATACTCGTATAGCCCATACCCTTCATCTCCATCCAGTTCAATGGGATTCAACAACTGATACGATAAATCCGATGGACTACCACACTGCAATTGATCAGAGCCACCTGATTGATCATACTCATTCTTGAGTCCTAGCCCAGGAGTATTTGGACCCAGCATCCCTAATAGCTCCTCTATATCAAACAATTATTCCAATGAAAAGTTCTACACATCATCAAAATGATTGCATCCACTCTCACTGAACTGAGTCAAGTGACCAGAATCTATTGGTCCTTGGGTGATCCCGTACCCTTCGAACTGATCAGGACTCATGGGTTCCACAGGCTGCTCTTCCGTTGGCTTTTGCTTAACTAGTTGTCATTGGTGATGGCACAGCTACTTCCGTTACAGTGCAAGGCTGACTGTAAATCAACGACTCACACTGCTTTGGCATAGGTTCTACCGTTGGGAGATTCACCTTCAATTCCTCAGGTAAGCAAACTTCATAATAGCTGGATGAAGTGGTAGCTGAGTATGGGGATTCCATCGATGCAGAGCTTGCAGGAAAGTTGAGACGTGCACAGCGCCCATACATGGCTTTGGCAGCCTCATCATAAGCAAGAGCAACTTCGAAGCAGTGGAGAAGGTTCCTAGCCAAAGCCGGCTTCCTCTGTTTGGTTCTCGAATCTCGGCGACCCACTTTCCCCATGTCCGCTGCTTGACGCCTCTGTAGTTAGGCAAAGCCGGCTCCATGGGAATCACTTGTTTTTTGCCTCAACAGTAGTTCTCCCCAATCATCATCACCATTAAGAGGAGAGCTCCGTTGGGAAGTTGCAGTGGCCATTGTCCACTGTGACGACAATACCAAAATTACCGCTGCTGCTGCAACTTACAATAGCCGTGGTAACCAATAAGAGTATTTTAGGAATTTTAAAATAATTATCACTCATGTGAACTAAGTGTGATGGAAAATTAACGGTAATAGAGGTTTTAGATCATTATCATACAAGTTAAAGATACTTTAAGATAATATATAAATAATAAGGGTAGAATCATGGTTTTCAAAACTAGACCGGACCAGATGGTCGAACTGGAAAAACTAGAAACCAATTAGGTGATCAGTTCCATTTTTTTTTCCAAAACCGGATTTTTGCCTAAAAAATGTTGATTTAGTCAACAAATCGCTGATCCAGGCGGTTGAACCATTCAAACCATTCAACGGTTTTTAATTTTTTTTTTTTAATTTTGTTATTTTTTATATCCTATTTGACTCAAAAACCGGACTCCTGACTGGTTCATCAGTTTTAAAAACCTTGGGTAGAATTATTCAATGTCATAATCGGGTAACTTAAGAGATTTACCCATAATTATATGTTTAGTATCAAATATAAAGGAAACAAGTTATGATTGTTTTTTTGTTTTATTTAAATTATATAATAGAAAGGATAAGTCGACTGATCAATGTGATTTGGTGTGTAACAAAACGAAATACTAGCGTGTGCCTAATCCGTGTAACCAGTCACGAGTGGACACGCTAGCGTTCTATATAGAATGTGCTTTCCGTTACCAAAGCGGACTCACATCAATACACCAAGGACCAATCACGAGGGGGCCCACATCAAAGGGCTTGGGAGTCGTTTTTCCCTTACCAAAGCGGACAAACACACATAAAGCATCAACGCGCAGCCTTGCAAGCAGCATATCCCAACGGTGCCACCGTACATTCCTGGCGCAGGTTATCGGCGCACAACTTCACAAGCATTCCTCTCTCCCCGCCAAAACCACGAAACACGTGGCACGATATCTTAACCTTACTCCCCCCTCGCCCCGCCACTGAACCCATTACATCTCCCGTTCCACTGCCCACTGCCAAGTCTGCAACCGAAGTAGGATAAAAAGCGAAGCTCATTTTGAATCTCGTTCCCTCGAATGTATATTCTCCACCTCTCTTATGATCGTCGTGGCTTCCTCCCTCTATTTCCTTTCTTCTCTGAACTTAACAACATGAATTGAAGATTGAATGTCTACTTCAACAATTGCAACAAGAGCAAGTAAATAAGTAATCGTGCGACGACAATTCCAGGTACCGATTCGCTTTATCCACGGAGGCACACTACCCGAGATGCGTCTTTGAATCCAATATGCTGATTCAAAAGAGACCGGTCTCCATTTGCCTATCTTTTCTATCTCCCGACCTCCCCTCTCCTTCCGCCTCCCGAATCAAATTTAATTCCAGCATTCTTGGTTCTCGACTCATTTCTGCAGCTGACGATTCAACTCTAGGAAGACAAAGAACAAGAATCAACATTGGAGGTTCGTCATTTCTACTCTTTCTTTTTACTGCATTTCTATTGCTTGCTTCTTCGTTTCTTAGAGTTCATTGTTCGCGTTTGTTTTGGTGCCTTCTTGTCCCCCCCCCCTAGAGGTCTAGATGGGTTTTGATGGTGGAGTTGTTAACATTGGGAGAAAGAGTTTATACTTTAGTGTTAATAAATTATTTTGGGAGGCAGGGCTGCTTTTTTACTTGAAAACTTTAGATTCTTATGTATGATTGAAGCGAACTTGGGAGGATTCTGGTTGGAACAGGACATCGTGCACCTTGTGTTCAATCGAATAATATATTCCAGGTAAGTCGTGTAATGTCTTGTTTCCAGGTTTGTTTGATAAAGTTAATTGGTAGAGTATATTTTCCTCTAGGTGGGATTTAATGCTTTCCTTTGGGAGATATATGGTATTAGAAGCAGTTCTTTGCAAGATAAGTAGGTAGGGGGAGATGGGAAGAAAACCTGATCGGATGTGGTCTTGAACTGGGCTTTCTACCTTATTTTATGATTACTAATAGAGTTCTTTTGAGTGTTGGTTGCTAATTACAAAATAAATTATTATATATAATTGTAAGAGCCGCTTTTGCTGAATATTATATGGTCATTATATTCAAAGGTACGGATGAAATTAGATTTTTTCTGTAATAAATTCAGTTTTATTCTTCTAGATTTAAATGTATTAGCATTTATTTAATTATGCGTATATTTACGCGAACATTGTACATATAACATATGACATTTATTTGATGCTAATGCAATTAGTCATGGGTTTCAGGAACTAATCAATTCTATGCCAACTATATAACGGATAGTGCCAGTTTAGATGATAAGATGTCACAATCTCAGCATCTCATTCCTAGTGATGCCACTCAAGATCAATGTATTTGGTCATCCCCTGAAGGGTGCCATGAAATTGATATGGGAAAGCATATCTTTTGCAACAGATCTTTGAATATGAAGAATATCGTTGCAGTTGGGTTTGATATGGATTACACTTTAGCACAGTACATGCCTGAAACTTTTGAATCCCTTGCTTACAATGGCACAATCAGAAAGCTGGTTTATGATCTGGGATACCCTTCAGAGGTTTGTTTGATTTTCATCCATTGTTATCTTTTCGTGTATAACTGAATCTTTGTGATATGTTTCCTGCCTTCATTTGTTTCTTGGAAGATGTGTAAAATTACAAACTGATCTAGAGAGTAGCTTCCTCAAATGTTTGGATATTAAACCTTGAGACTTTTAGATTTCATCACAGAAACTATTATCTAACGGAGTCTATACAGGTTTAATCCACAACCAGTGGTCCTATATTAACGCTATGTTGTTGATTAATTCTTATCTATATAAGCTTTTCTGTGACAACTCATCTATGTGATGATGCTGAAATAATTACTCAATGCTTCCTGAATGTGGTAGTTTGATCTAATATATATGTACTTTTTTACCAATCCACCCCCAAGAAAAAGAATATATATGGAATTCCTAACTTTCATGAAAATCCTTTGTAGTTTTGAGTAGACACTGTTCTATTAGCACTTAGAAGCAACTAGAGAATCTTGTCTTGTTCTAGGATTTTACATAATGTTTGCTTGATGCAAGTTGTCTATCAAAATGTCCACCAGAAGTTCCATTCCTCCAGTTTCTATGACATTCATATTCTTTAATTCTAGATATTGAACCAAAACAACTTAGAGTCCTCCTGTTTTCACACAATTTTTAAATGTCAAATTTACTTCTCATGCCTTATTAATGAAGTGATTGATCCTTTTCTTTCTTTATATGTAAGCATTCCAAATTACTTTTTATCTAGTTGTAATGTAATACCATTTTGTTGGCTCTTATATTCTGAAGAAAAAGATATAGGGTTTGCTGACTGATATTACTTTGTGCAGTTACTGGAGTGGTCATTTGATTGGAAATACATGGTCAGGGGTTTGGTTCTTGATAAGAAGAGAGGCAACATATTAAAGGTTAGCTCTTAACTTTCTGATGCAATACAACAATAATAATAAAGAAAAAAAAATCAGATATAAGGTTTATTTGGTCAACTTTACTACCACCAACATTTACATTTGTCTGTATGCATCCCATTCTGTGGTTTTTTCAGTTTGAGATACTTGCCGAATTAATAGATGGTTTTTTCCCATTCTCTTCTTTAACCTATTGCTTTATATTCATTGAGTACAACTGTGATGTAATTCAACACTAATAACAAAGAAAACGTTCAGATGTAAAGCTTCTTTCACCATCTTTACCACCACCGACATTTACATTTAGCTGCATGCATCTTGTTCTGTGGTTTTTTCAGTTTCAGATACTTGTTGAATTAGTATGTTTTTTTCCCATTCTCTTGACTTTCATTTATTGCTTTATATTCAGTGAGTACAAGTGTTATTTTTTCCTTTCTTTCACAGATGGATCGACACAAATATGTGAAGGTAGCCTACCATGGCTTTAGAGAGATGTCTAAGGAAGACAAGATTGCAACTTATGGAAACACATTGTTACAGGATTCATTTGATGAGCCTGATTATGCTCTTATTGATACTCTTTTCTCACTGGCTGAAGCTTACCTATTTGCACAACTTGTTGACTTCAAGGATAATAATCCTGGAAACGTGCCAAATAATGCTGAGTATAAATACTACCCATTCCAAAATATTGCTGACTTCAAGGAGTTACTTTATGCATGGGCTTTATTTTTTATTATTTAAGCACAATTTTCACCCTGTCATTGTTATTGCACAGTAAACAGGGTACCAGTTTTTAAGTTGATCATTAATTAGGGTTTCTTTTTCAGCATCATATTAGAAATATTATTTCATTCTTTTTTTTTCACTTTTCTTCTTTGTTTACATGCTGTTTTACATTTTTCAAGCTACTCTCGACTGTACAAGGATGTTCGAGCTGCGGTTGACTTATGCCACCGCGATGGAACTTTGAAGCAAATGGTTGCAAAAGATCCTAAGAAGTAAGGACCATGTAGTTGGTTTTAGTTATTCTACCATATGGAAGCAAAAACTTGTAGTTGTTATCTAAGACATTGATATGAGCCTCTCATTAAATTTTTAACAAGTCTCTAAACATTCATATCATTTTGATCTCATTTTACTTTGATTGTGCATTTATTAGGTATATAAACGATGATCCTTCAATAGTTCCCATGCTTAAAATGCTTAGAGATTCTGGCCGTTCTACATTCCTGGTGACAAACAGGTATTGGTATCCTTCTGTCAATTCCTTGGAATATTTATTCATATTTTTATGTATAGTTATATGCTTATATTTTTACATGTAGCCATATAAAACATTTTGGTGCAAGCTTCATGCTTGATAAAGAATGCATTGATGCATTCTAATAGCAAGTGTTAGTTTTTTAAGTCCGGTGCTGACTTCACCAGTTAAAAAGGAGTGTAAGTTCATTCACAGTATGATTTAATTAGGTTTATCAAAGCACTTTAATGGGTTTCTGCTTTGTTCTTTACTTTTCCTTTTCATGAATGATAATCTTTTAACATCAATTGGTAACACTTCATTCCTGTAGTTTTTTTTATATGTATTTCTTATTGTCATACATTTCCTGTAAGAATTTTCTTTCCCTACTTTAAAGTTGTAAATGCCTGTACATTTTCTGTTCTTTATTTTCTTCTTGATAACATATATTAACTCCTTCTCCATTTTTTATAGTAAAATAAAATTTATTAAAGTAAAAACAAGAAGTGGTGTTAAGAAATCACCACAGTAAATATCACCCCACATCACAGAAATATTACAAGACCCGATCTCAATTTCAAAAAAAACAAAGTGTCCCAAGGAAGAAGAAAACAAGACCGTGCTACATAAATTTCCACTGAAATACCAAGACTAAGAAACGGCAAGCAGAGATACTCCGAATCATAAATTATACATTTTCAAACCCCTTCAAAATGGAAGAACAATGACATGAGGGATCCTACCCTTTTCAACATTTTCTTCTTATCCCAATTTCCAATATATGGTGAGAGAGAATAGGTTCTCTCCCTCTTGAGCTAGATATGGTTGGTGACCAAGCTTTGGAAGCATCCCTTGGTTGGATCACTTAATGGTACCCATCATAGGAGAACAGATTGAAAAATGACCCCATAGCCTATACGAACCAACATTTAAGGAGTGGTCGATGAATTGGGCATTGTTTAGACAAGGAATGGATTCATCAATTATTGTTTTCCTTCTTGAAATGAGGTGGCTCAATGCCAATATCCTAAGGATGACATCCAAAAGTAGAAAACAGAAACCCACTTATTTAGGCACTGGAGTTAGCCACATAAAACATGACAAATCATCCTCTTTCCTGTGGCTGTATCTTTTTGTTGGTTAAAAAGGAAGGAAGCCATTCAAGCCAGTATCACGTGGACACAGAAATGATAATCAGAATATAATGTCTCCGCAAACAGTACTAATTATTAAACAACAGTCAAAATTTTATCAAGAAAAATACCCCAACATTTCATGTTGTTTAAGTGAAATTGTGAAAGGTAAAATATAGGGTGTTTAAAAGCTAAAGGCTGACATACAAAGGCAACAAGAAAAACAAAAGGTGAAGTAAGTCTATATCTCTTTAAATTTCTAATCCAGGTCCTGGCAATCACCAAACTAGATCTACTCTGCTTACCACCCTCCTTGCTAGTGTGTTCATTTGCAGATCTAGGAAGCCATCTGAATGAGCATTTCGGATTCGATGCTAGACTATTCGTGATGCTGACTTGTAAGCAAGAGAAAAATCCATGGAAGAAGAAATCAAAAGTCTTTATATTCTTGCATCAATGGCAATCTCATAATGTTGTGTCATTCTAGTTTTGGTATTTTTGAGTTTTTAAGTTTTTTAATAGTTTGTTGATATCTCTGGATTAGTGCTTCTAAGTCTTCTAGATATTTATTATCTTGTAAAAGTTTAAATCACTATTTATGGTAATTTTGGCCTTACTATCTATAATAAATTAATAATCCCATAATTACTATTTATAGTAAAATATTGGTTTATTATTTTTAATAATCTGTGGTTCTTTAAATTAAGTTTGTTTCTCCCTATAGGTTACCTGGGTTTGTTTTAGTTATAGAGCAATTAAAAGTTGTTTTGGTATAGTTTTTGAGTCTTAACTGAAGTCTGTAAAGGGAGATCAATGCTCTAACGTTGAGTCCATTAATGAAATCATTGTAATTGAAGTTTAGAAGAGTTAGGTTAATGAATAAAAGTTTGGTTTAGTAAATTCTGCTAGCCAGATTTGTGTTGAAAATCTAGGAATTTGCTTCCTCTTTATTTTTTTTCTTTACTTCTTTGGATTGCTTGATTGAACTACTGTATCCACAATAGCTAAGATAATAAGTAAAGCTACTTTATTTCTTTTGCAGTTTATGGGACTATACACATGTTGTGATGAATTTTCTTTGTGGGCACCAAACTATGGATGGCAGTTCTCCTTGCAGTTATGATTGGCTTGAAAACTTTGATGTTGTTATTACTGGCAGGTTCTCTCCTTTACTTATGTAATTCTTTTTCCTTTTTCTTGTGTTTGTTGATCTCTAAAACAGTCTATCTACCTGGTAGTTTTGAATTTTTCTGAGGTCAATGGTATTCACGTTCTCATATTTTTTGTTTTTAAGTATTTGATATAATATTATTCTTCAAGTGCGTATGGATGGAACTTTTAAGTCTTAACTGATATCCAGCATACCTTTCATTTTTCTTTAGTTTTTCTGTTAGAGAAATTATGAAGTAGCACCCTGATACCGGTTAAAGCATTTGATTTTTCTTACCTTGTATCTATGCGGCTTCTTTTGTTGCATGATCACAATTGGTGGCACTTGAAAGTTTTTCTCAATAAATAGGATATTACATTTTCAGAGGACTGGGAATCCATTTTCTCAGCTTTATCATCGCATAGAATAGCTCCAAAAAAATACTGTTACTAATTATATATTTAGGCAATGGTCGGTAGAATTTTTTTTGAATGGTATGTAATTAATAGGAATTTTTGTTAACGAATAAAAAACTCCTAGAAAGTGCCATTATATTACATTTGGCAACATCATGTGCTAAATCAAGGCATATCGTTCATGTCAATGAATACATGCAGTTCTTGGTTCACAGTTTTTCATCACTTGATTGCTTTTAACAATAAAAAATCTGCTTATCATCTTATGGCCACAGTTCAAAGCCAAGCTTTTTCAATGAAGAAAACCGTGCAAACCTATTTGAGGTTGAACCTGAATCTGGGATGCTACTTAATACAGATAATGGCACTCCAATTCCTCAGGTTGGTATGGTAAATTCCATATTCTTCTTCCCTGTGTTCAGAATCCACATTAATTCTTATTTACGTTTCTCCTTATTTGTTCATCTGATTTTCTGCTACAAGATCGGTAACACTTCACAAACAGTACAATCAAAAGGGTCGAGGAAGGCTTGTAGAGTTTTCCAGGTATTTTCTCCATTGTTTTTATCCATCCAGTTGATAGCTGGCCAAACATTAATTTTAAAGTTGGATGATATGCTGGAAATCAAATATCTTTAGCTGTTATTGATGATGTTCTGGAACTTTCATTTTTCAGGGAGGGAGTGTTGCCCATCTGCATAAATTGATTTCCATTGAATCAAGTTCGCAGGTGCTGCATAACTTGTTCCAATGAATTTGTTTCATTTTTTTCTCTCTCCTTCATATGACTTGTTGCAATGACATTTGGTTGAAAAAGTGTTGTATGCAATTATCAACTCCCTATGAAGTATTGGTGAGGGTGCAGCAAGGGCTATCACTGTACATAAAAAGAGACTATACTGCTTGTATAGCTTGATGTATACATGCATTTAATATCAAAAGTTACTGAAAATAATATCATTGATTTATCATTAGTGCCATGTTTCATATTTACAGGGCCATCATTTTGAATTTTAGTTGACTTTATGTCTAACCTTGTAAAGTAGGCTAGTTTAAAAGCAGAGCTTCCTTTCTTTTTCATTTCTTGTCACATATGCTTACATGATATTGACTAGGTAAAAGTTGGAATGCTAATGAATAGCTTGTCCTAAAAGGGATAAAATAAACAGAGGCAACAAGAACAAATCACTAGAAACTGATGATAAGGCATTATTTGGCAAGTGGCTTTGGAGAATTGGTAAGTAGAGAGAGAAGGTTATGGAGGCAGATGATTTCAAGCAATATTTTTTCTCCTTTTTTGAGAAAGAGTAACAGAATTTCAAGAGAACAAGGATGCAGTTCCAAGATCAGGGATTGCTATGTGGCCATGGCTTGGAGGATAGCAGTCATCTGTTTCTCCATTGTCCTATCTCTGCTCAGATCTGGAACCACTATTTTTCAGCTCTGGGTCTTGCTTGGGTTTATGCCTGGTTCAGTGAAGGAGTTGTTGGGGTGCTGGGAGTTATAGGGCTGTCAACGCTTGCTAGCGGTCTGTGGGTGTCCATTCCAGCTGCTGTAATCAGTACTATTTGGGTAGAAAGAAATAAAAGGCTATTTCACAGTATCTCCAAAGATCCGAAAGAGCTGATTGCCTTCTCCTTTGGAAAAATTGATCTCTTGGGTCTTGGTTGTAAAGGGAATTCAGGTTTCTCAGCTAGGGGCTAGGCTGAATTCTAGGAACTTCTGGTAATTGTAATGTTGTTTTGTTCTGACTGATCCTCTTCCAAGTAGTGTTCCTTGGCGGGATCCTATTGTACTTTTATTGCTAAATTAATAACAGGGTAAATTACAAATAGGTACCTTGTACTTTGGGGGTAGTGACAGATAGGTACCCCAAACTTTCAATTGCAACACTTGAGTACCCTAAACTCTTAAATATAGACACTTGGGTCAATTTGTTAGTATTCCGTCAGTTAAAGACTACATAATGTCAAAAGTACCCTTCTTGTGTATTTTTGAGATCATTTACAGAGTAAAATCGTCACTGAATCTGTTATTTGCTGTCCATGTGAGAACATCATCGTGGGGAGACGGTTGATTACCTGAGAATGATCTCAGAAATACATGAGAAGGGCATTTTTGACATTATGTAATGTTTAACTGACGGAATAGTAATGGATGGACCCAAGTGTCTATTTTTGAGAGTTCAGTGTACTAAAGTGTTGCAATTGAAAGTTTAAGGTACCTATCTGTCACTACCCCCAAAGTACAAGGTACCTATCTGTAATTTACCCTTCATAGAATTACCTTACATTTTCTCAAAAAAAAAGAAAAAAAATCAAGAGAACAGGAACTGATTTGTTGGGCGTTTAGTGGTCCATTAGGTATTACAGACTCAACAAAGGCTGAAGTGATGGCAGCCCTCACTGGTATCAGAATCATAAAAAACCTAGGCATTCAGAAAATATCCATAATAGGAGATTCAGCCAATACCATCAAATGGCTGAAAGAGAAGGAGGGGGGCCCATGGAGGTTGAGTCGTTATCTGTCAGAGGCAAGAGACACCCTGGAACATTTGAATGTTATTCTGAAGTGGATCCCGAGGGAGATGAATCATATTGCTGATGGATTAGCTAAATTGGGAGCGAACCTAAAAAATTTATACAGCAACAAGCTTCCCCCCTTGTAATTTTGTATTTCTGCTGTTTTCTCTTTTAGTACACCTACTCATGTACTTCTTATCTTTATCAATGAAATCTGGTTAACTTTTTCTCAAAAAAAAAAAAAAACAAACTTTCATATGGCTTTGGATCCAAGCTTTGGGTCATGAATTTTTATTAGTTGAATTTTCATATGGCTTGGGTTTCTGGAGAAGTAATTAACTCTAGAGATGATTTTTCGAAGCAAATTCCCTATAAACCAAGTAACTGTAATCAAATTTATTTTTTGTAAGGATTGTTGGGTTGGAGATACAGTGACAAGAGATTTCTGTTCAATCAATAATTCAAGACACTAACCAGAAATTATTACAATCTGGTGTACTTGTATGGATTCCCCAATTATTGTGTTGTCTCAATGATTTGGAAGCATACTCCTTAATATCCCCTCTTGAGAATCTACAGCATCGGTGCATACAGGCAGGGGAAGAGGGTAAAGAATTTGGAAATTCAACCCACAAGGTATATTCACCATTGGATCATTCTATGATTTCCTATTTGGTCCCTTGGCTAAGCCTTCCCTTGGAGGTGGCTTTGATAGGACCATATCCCCTCCAAAGTCTTTTTCTTCATGTAGACAGTGATTCTTGACAAGATCCTCATGATTAACCATTTAACCTCAAGGTTTGGACATATAAAGTTGCTTCAGCCTTTTATTTGTACTTTTCAGAACTCAATACAGTTAATCCAGTGGTTAAAAGCATCTGTGTGGTGGAAGGGTGCATACCTGAAACTTTGGAAGCTTTCCTCAAAAGCTGGAAGGTAAAAGGCTTGAGTAGAGAAGGGGCTATATTATGGAAGGTAGCTCCTCTTGCAGTGATATTGGAGCATATGGACTGAAAGAAATTCAAGGATTTTTCATAATATGGAGAGATGGTGGACATCTTGGGTTAGTGTGCACAAGTTTTTCATGGGGAAGCATAGTGACTCTTTTTTTGACAAAAGTTCTCTTTGTGTATATTCTTTGGGTGTATTGTCTGTATATTCACAGTGTGTAGGTCCTTGGTGTACATGGGCCTGCTATATTTACTCCCTTTGTTTCTTGAACGGATATGCTTAATTTTCAAACAAAAAAAAAGGATTACATAAGCTACTTAATCCTTATAAACTTGATTTGCATGGCCATGCCTAATTTTATTTTTTTTCGCATCCTTTTTTTTGTTGGAGGGTAGGGGAGGGGAGGAGCTTATTGTAGAATCAAATCAATATTCAGTCCTGCAATCAATTTTTATTTCTTTGTCACTGTTAAGTCTTCTTCCCATGAACCCCATGTCTAAAATGTTTCTATTTACATGGACTAGGTTCTTTATGTTGGAGATCACATATATGGAGATATCTTACGCAGCAAAAAAGTTCTAGGTACAGTTTTTCTTTTATTGGCTTTTCTAGTCTTGATAGCCTATGAATTGACTATAACCTTTCTAACCAATGTTATCAGGCTCAGACCAATGGTTGGGCCATCAGAACCAGGTACCAGCAGCCAAAATGGTTTTTGGCTATCTGGTTCTTAGAAATGTTGACTTGGTCAAGCCTACCTCAAATACATCCATTAATATCTGTTCTAACCTATAATATTTTTCATTATTAGCTTATTTTGATATAATCTAACTTCAAAAGATGATCTGGAACTTGAACTGGTGACCAAATTGTATTTTTTTTTTGTCTGGTCTAAGTCTGCTAACATTGCTTATAATTTCTAACGATGGGCATTCTTTCATCATCATCATCCATGCCTTATCCCAAGTAGTCATGATATTCAAAAATATTTAAGTATAACTTGTTTAATATGAATTACTACCAGTTTTTTAATGTGTTTGAATTGTATATATATATATATATATACACACATACAGAGAGAGAGAGAAAGGTAAAGTATAAGGTATTGTATTAATATTAAAGTGTGATCCTCTGTACAATGAGACGTTGTACAGTATAGCTTACTAGGGACCCCCAAAAAGTCCACCCTCAAAAAAGAAGAAAACATATCATCCTTAAATACATTGTGAACAGAAAGTCAACTCTTCAATTCTTCTACTGCCGTATTGATCACTCCTGCCTCAGAAATTGGCTTCTGTTTGAAGATTCTTCTAGCCCTCTCATGCCATAAGGCCCAAGTAATTGCTTCTTGGACAGTTGCCCAGCAAACTTTTCCTTTTCTGGACATACCCGAGACTTGCCAAACAAAGTACTGAAAGAGCAATGAAGGAACAGGTGACTCAACCATTCTGTAACAAAGCACACAGGGCCCATCTGAGAAATTGTAATTAAATATTATGACTAGTATTATATATATATATATATATTTGATCGGTAAACAATAAAATGACTGATCATTATATTGGTAAGGCATTAGAAAGATCATGATAAATTTCTAATACAATTTCAGGGGGTTCATCTTTCATTTTTGTTATCAAGAAATAGGAAATACATTTTGTCTGTGATTCCATGGTTTGAATCATCAATTTCCACATCAGGACCCATGATCATGAGACACTGGCAAAAGTTCTAGTGCTAGCTGCCAACTTGAAGATTACCTAGTTAATGTTTTGAAGATTAAGAAAAAAGCTTAAGTCATCCCATTTGGTGGATGCATAATATTTCATGTAGACGATACCATATAGTTGGGCCAAGGCATAGATGACGATGATGATGATATTTTTTGTGCTATTTATTTTCTGTTTTGAGGGAAGAGGCATCCCTTTATATTCATTTATGATTTCCTTAAACAGTTGTGGTTTGTTTCTCATTTCATTTTTCCCTAACAGGTTGGAGAACAATGCTTGTTGTTCCAGAGCTGGAGAGGGAGGTTGAACTCCTTTCACAGTCAAGGGAGACTCACAAGGTATTAATAACTTCAAGGTTTCATTAGCAAGTACCCAAAGTTAATCCATAACACGAAAATGATATCAATTACTTTCAAAGCTGGCAATTTGTTACATTATCAAATCCTTCTTTAGTTAATCACCTATTTGTGTATGTATTTCTTATAGTAAAATAAATATAAGTAATGGATGGTAAAGAATTGATTTAACATGGTTATACCATGTTTAAGAAAGAGATGAGTGCTTTTTAGGATAAAGTTTTGAAGGTGTTCAGGTATGGGAAAATCCAGTAGTAAGCTTGCTTTTACTATAATTTACTATAACTGTAAGGTAGGCTGAGCCCATTACTTAAGTTTAATGAGTTTTTTTCCTCTTTGCAGCAACTTCAATTGTTGAGGAAAGAACGTGATCTTGTCGAAAACAAAATACATCACCTTAAGTGGTCTCTCGAGTAAGCATTACAATCTGTTCTACATTTTGTTCTCTCATGTCATTGGTATCAAATTTGATCTGATCATGCTTCACTTGGTGAACACCTACCACATGGGCATTGAAGTAGGTTTTTTTTAATGGAAATTCCCGAAGGGAAATTCAAGATGATAAAATATGTTAGAAAACTATGGATCACATCGATATTGTAGTAAATATTTCTAACACTAATAAAAGATTTAGGGTTATCCACAAGTTTCAGCCCTAAAATAAAATAAAAATTACTAAAATTTACAGCAAGAGCTTGTTTTGAGACCTATTTCACAGATCCTAACCAATGATTATTTAAAGAATCAACCTGATGAACTGAACCAGTCAGAGGCAGCTCAATAATGAATTCAAGGTCGCAAAGCAGGATACTCCATCTGTTTTATGTCTCCGACCATAAAGTGGATGTATACAAACTATCCTGACACTTCTTGTATATATTCATTCTTTTGTTACAATTAATAAAAGTTAAAACTTTCCAATAAAAAAAGATCAAGACCTTGTATTCAGATTTCTGAGACCAAGTCAATCAAGAAAGTCACTTGAATTTCAAGAAACTCGATTAATAAATAAAGAAGAATAAACCAACATTATTTCTGGGTCAAGATCTACTTTGCACTTGAATCATCCAATCGGAGTCACACCAAAGAGAAATGAGTAAGCAAATATGCTGGAATACATATATACATGCAAAAGAACTTCCTACTTTGGTTCAAATATTATAATGGAAGATAAGAAAGTAAAAGATCCTGATAATTTAAAGCTTGATAGATTTATTTGGACCCAAGGGAGAAGCTGGTTATTCAGGCTCAACCAGCCCCTAATTGATTCAAGATTCAAGGATAATTTTGGAATGCTGTAGCCACACCTGGAAAAAAGTCATTATAGTGCAGCAACACCCTGTTTGGAGCCATCACAGCCCTATCCAGATCTGCAGGTTGATTCCCATAATTGTTCCTTTGTTTTCTGATAGTAGTTTTTCTTACTTCAGATCTTTCATTTTTGTATTCAGATTCAAGGATGTGAGTGTTGATGAAAAGCAAAAGCTATCCTCTGAACTTGAGGAATTGGAGGTCAGCCACATTGAGCTTTCTTTTTTTTATTATGCTTCTTTTCTAGAAGAATTTCATGTGGATGTGTGTGTGTGTATGTGATTCTTTGAGTATCTTAAAATCAGAATGTGGAAACTACTTTCTTTCCCAGTGAAGTCATTACTATGATTTTATGACTTTTACTAGAAGGTACATCTATGTTCTCTTATCAATTCTTTCATCTCTCTCATTATGTGCCTATACTGCTAAGTCCCCAAACTAATATTCATGAGCCATCCCACCATCATCCCGGAGTCACCTTCTACTGTCATGTCTCTGTAATTAAAAGTTCTTCAGTCCCAAACCTTGGAGTACCACCTTCAGTTCGCTCCAGTCCTGAGGACAAGGCCAAAATATCACCTTCCCTATTTCTGAACACTCCATCAATGCTAGTAGGTACTAGGTTGCCAAGGATGCAACAGCAACATTCAATGTTTATCTTAATGGGAAAATCCATTGGTAATCTCTTTCAGGGTGTGCATTTTAGGCATTTCAGTGACCATTGGGAGAATTTTCTGTGGGTCAACGATGATTTGAAATAATGTTTCCTTTTTTGTAGTCTTTTCTGTTTGCCTTGTAGCTGTTGAGGGAACCTCTCCCTCATCAGCATGTTTCCTTTAAGCTTTTAATGAAATCTTCACCACTTTTCAACAAAAAAAAGAAAACATCCCATATGGGTTGAAAGCCCCCAAATTAATTCTGTTCTATCTACCCTCGATGCAGCATCTCTAGTTGTGAGACCATCACCCTGCACAGTGTTATTGGAGGATAGAGCCATTATATTTTTGGGGCTCTCTTTCCCTCCCTCATCCTTTTAATTTCTTTCCCTTCCTCCCTCTGCTTCCCCTCTTAGGTTGTTTTCTTATTATCAGAAAGGAACAAGAAATTAAAATTGCTTTGGCTTACCCAATTATTTATATGACTTTTTTAATTATTGTGATTGTTAGTCTCAAAGAGAGCAAGTTCGTCTTCATCATCAACAGGTTCAGCGAAGTTTTCACCAACAGGTAACTAATCTTTATTTAAACCATGAAAATCTTTTGCATCATTAAGGAACTTGGTTTTATCTGTCACTGACAATATAGCTGTGATGTTATATTTCAATGTGAAGAAAATTGGTCACCCAATATCAATATTCTTTTGAGAAATGCATCTATTTTAAATGAATCATGAGACTTGTTGCAGTATTTGAGCATACTTTACAATCAGGTTGAGAAATCATTGCATGGTTTATGTTGTTGACCTCGCTAAACTTTTTATTTGCCTTCTTAACAAATAAAGATCCTAATGCTACTGGGATTATGAATTAATGTATGACTTCTGCTTTCTTCTTTCCATTAGGAATAATGATATCCATAAGGGAAGAGGTTTCTAATGTGGATAACTGATGGATTCAAAATATGTGACAACCCCGGCAGGACTTATTTGTTCAAGATAGAAATATTCCCTTGAGCAATTTGTTTTATACAAAGTTACAAGTCATGCTTAGGGTAACAAGTTAGAAAGCAGATAGAGGTTAATAATTTTATCAGAAGATACTGAACAAATTCAAGTCCAATTTAAAATGAGGTAGAGATATTTAATGTGAGGTAAGGAAAAAAACAAAATCTGAACACCAATCTCATAATGAAATAGTCTCGGCTTGATAAAGCATACCACATCCATCCAGTTTATGCACATAAAATTGCACCTTTATAATATAGTTTCAAAGTGAATATAAATTGTCAATAGGATTGGTGCTTTAGCATTCATCATAATACTCATTGAACCCTTGGGTTGTCAAAGACAGGTACCTCTAAGTCTAGAAAAGTCTAAATTCATCTGCAAGCACTCTGTAATGTATTTCTTGTACTTAGTCAACTAGTTTGTATGAACAAATGCAACCACGATAAGTTATTTGCATGAAGAGGCTCTTCCTGCACTAATGTTAAAGCTAATACCTAGCTCTTATTTTATACCCATTGTTAACATTTTGCTTTGCTTTTTAACAGATAATTTTATTTTATTTTGTGATAACTAATGGAAATTTTAAGCGCAAAAGGGGGGGGGGAGGAGGAGAGAAGCACAGAAGAATGATTTTGCGATAGTCCTCTATTAGAAAAGAATCTCTACACACATGCAATTTCTATACTGTTCTAAAACCTAATGCATCCCAAGCTTTCAAAATCAGTGAATGTAAGAGTCTGCATCCACAATCCTCTTATCATAAAAAGCTCTTTTCTTTATTTCCTTCCAATGTCCCTAGCAAACTGAAAATAGATGAACAACTTTCCCCTTGTGTGTGACTCATGATGGGAACAATTCTAACACCTAACAGAACCCTTGGGTTTCTTAACTGTAATGGCATTCTTATTTGAGTGTTGCCAGCACCAATATTAAATCAATAACTTCCAAAGATATCCTAATATCAGGCCTAAACATTTTTTTGGTTATTGCAATACTATTTGTTAGAGGCCTTAATATTTAACGCCACCTTGGATTTGAGTTTGCCACAAAACAATTCCAACACTTCAAAGATGAATTATAGAAACCAAAAGCTCACTAAATAACAACCATTCAAACAATCATCAAGTTCTCAAATTGTATCTAATGAAACCTTCTCAAGACTACTACCATCTTTGAGAAGTGAAGTCTTCATCTATATTAGTATCACAGTTATTGATGATGTGTTTCAGTTCCACAAGGTTTGGGGACAACTCATGAAGACGGGCTACCAGAATTCTCGCTTTGCACATCAGGTCAGTCTCCTTTTTAAGATTCAAGTCACGAACTGAGCTTGCTTCACATGGTAGTTAAAAGATGCAATATTTTTTAATATTACCCAACTGTTTTTTTTCTTCTGTTTGACATTTTTTGTCTTGGGCTTACTCTGTTCTTTTTGTTGGGACAGTCCTCTCTTTCTAACCGTGACCAGGATAAGGATTTACCAATTCACATCTTTTCCTGTTTTCTACAATTAATACAATTTTACGTTTCTGTATTTCTTGGTGTTCAAAATAACAAGGGTTCTGTTCCTTCATACATTTGTTTACTCATATTCGTCAACTTTATACACAGACACATGGTCTCTGTTTTGCCCTTTTGCATTAACAGAACAGAGATCCATCTCCTAGTTTTTTCATAGGCTATGAAATGCTTGTTATTTTAGTTATACTTTTAATGTTTGCTTCTTTCATATTAGTTCACTTCAATGTTTTCTAGTTTTCATACCAACTAGAGAAACAAGCTTAAAATCAAGCAGAAATTAAAAAAAAAAATTATTGCCTAGTGACATTCATTGATCATTTCCATAATTTATGTATTCTGTGTAGGTGGAAAGATTTGCTTGCCTATACAGCAGCCAGGTGACCAACTTGAGCTTATACTCACCGGACAAATACTACAGACCTAGTGAAGATTTCATGCCACATGAATTCGACATTCTTACTGTGTGAACAACCTAGTTCAATTAAAGGGAGAGATTGGACAATCATTTTAAGGGGGCGCTCTTTTTTTGGATTTTGAGAGGGGGGAAAGTTGGTCAATGGGATTTTGGTTCCCATTGACCAAGAATCCCATGTTCTTTTTTCGGATTTATGTAGGGACCAGGGAATGTTTATTTTCCTGGGTATCTCCTAAGTGGGTAAATAATTTTCCCACCTATGGAGGAAAGTTGCCAACACTTGAATGGGACAAAAATGCCCCTTTTAATAATGAAATGTTATGGATAAAATGGTCATTGCCTTATTTACATGAGAAATAAAAGAACATGGGTAAATGCACTTACCCGGGTAAGTGTTTTCCTGGAAAAACTTACCCAGGTAACTACATTTACCCGGGTAAATAACTTGCAAAAGTGAACAAGGCCTAAGAATTGTCATCAGTCATGCAATGTATATTTTTTTTTTGGTAAATGTCATGCAATGTATGTTTTCTCACGTTGTTCCATATCAATGTATCCCACACAGCTAAACTCCTATTAATCAAAATGCTAAGAAAAAGAAATGTATACACCTGGTTTTACATGAATACTGGTTGCACGCGTATACCCTTCTCAGATCAGCATTTGTTATATTTTTGGTGAAATTCCATTTTATCCCTTGTAGTGTACCTGCCAAGAAAGAAAAACTTTTTTTCTTATTTTTTGAGCCAGCAGATTTTCACATAAGTCCGACCGTCCACTTCTTCATATTTCATTTTACTCTGCTGCACCAACAATATCTTTGTTCTGACACTCGTCAAAAAACCGGTTGATTTAAGATCAAAATCTGCAGACATGTTAAAAAATAGATAAGAGATGCCGAAGGATTCAAAATTTCAGATGTTTTCTATTTTTAAATTGATTTATAGTTATTTTTTGTGCTTGTGTGCCAATATGATAAGTAACAAATTGAGATATAGATCTATGAAAGGGTATATACTTTTACGAGTTGAATTATTCAATTTCTATGCGTGATTCAATAGTAGGATGTGGACTCTAAACAGGAAAGGCTGGGGCGGGGATCATATTTCCCATCCCTGACATTCTCTGGCTACAGATAAAAGTTGTCCTCCATCCCCGATCCTTAATGGGGATGGGTTCTCTGTATGGACCCGAATCCTCGAAATTTTTTTAGATAACAATGTTTTTTGAAAAATAAATTTACTTAAAATAAATAAAAATTTTAAAATATAAATAATATAATATACATAATAATATATATAATTGGGGTCGGGGTAGAGGTGTAAAGTGGGCTGTGCTGGGCCGGCACGACACGAATCGTAGTCGGCTTGCGCAAAGTGTGGGCCATGTCGTGTTGGCCCGTAGGCCATCATGGGTCGTGCCACCATCCCCGGTGAAAATTTTGGGGGTCAGCCTAGCACGGCCCACGGCCCAAGCCCGCATGACTTGTGTTGTGCCGTGGGCCGAGTTGGCTCGTGGGCCAAGTCTTGGCCCAAGTCGGGCCATGGACCGGGTCAAAGCTATTTTTGCCTATTTATTTAAAAAAATTGAAAAAAAAATTAAAATTTTGATGTACACAATTGTTTATATATACAATAAATAAATAAATTAGTATAATAAAATTGAAAAAAAGTTTTTTTTAATATATTATTATATAATTATAATTTATATAATATTATATATATATATAAATATATAAAATTTATAAATATTATGTATATATATAAATATATAAATATTATGTATATATATAATATAAATAATATATACGGGTCGGGCCGCGGGTTGGGCCATGCCGGCACATGGGCCGCACGGCCCGCTTGATCGTGTTGTGTCGTGCCAGCTCATAGACTTCAAACCCCAGGCTCAGCCATGCTAGGCCTGGCACGACCCGTGGGCTATCGTGCCATGCTATGCCGGGCCGCGGACAGTCCGACCCGATTTACACCTAGGTCGGGGTGGGGCAGGGACCTCAATCCCCATATCTGACCCCAATCGAGGATTTTAATTAATCCCCGCCCTTACCTTGCCAAAGTAATCTCCATTCCCAACTCCATCAGGTCGGGAAGTCAGGTCCCCGTCGGAGGTGGGGAAAATTGCCATCCCTAACTCTAAATTGTCCTCCAAATTTTTTTTTTCTTTTTTTGGTGTTAGCTAATAGATTCCCCTCAAAATGTTTCTTAACGCTGAGAGGGGTGAATGTGAAAGAGGAATGCTGTCTAAGCATCGAGGACAGCGATCACATTTTCATTAATTGTGATTATGCTAGGCAGGTTTGAAGCCTCCTCATTGGGTAGATTTGAGACCCATAAATGAAGGAGAAAATGTAAAAGCTTGGTGGGAGAAAACCTAATCAAGCTCTCATCTTAAGAACAAGAGGATCATGGAGTTTCTAGCATTTTCTATTATGGAGATTATGGATGAATAGAAATGGGAAGGTGTTTAAGAATACCATCTTTCCCCCTGCTGTCCTGCTTAGCAAAGTGGCTGGATAGAATTTATTAATCTCACAAGTCCTGACAAAAAGGATATCATATGAGAACCCAGAGCATTTGGGTGTGGTGGTAAGTTCCAAATGATTCATTTGTTAAGGTAAATTTTGATGCCTCAAGGAAAAGGAAAAGTGATGGATAGAAAGTTGTTGGGTGTATTGTGAGAAATGAAAAAGGGGGAGATATTGGCTAGTAGATATAAACAAGTGTGTCAGTATTCTATTAATATTGCTTAAGTTTGGGCTGCACTTGAAGCTCATGACATTGCTACAATTTAAACGTCCAACATTCTCACATCCTTAGAGAAGTGAACCAAGCTGCTTACTAGTTGGGAAATGTTGATGTTGGTCATGGGGGAGGGCTACCCCACCCGGGTTGTGTATCTGGCATTGGTTTATTTTCCTTTCTTTATTTGTTTTTCTTTCCTTATTATCAGAAAAAAAAAGTGCTTTGGATCAGCTGAATCAAATTTAGTTGAATCTTCAGCTTATCCCTCCCTAACGGGCCTCATATTTCGGATCTCTCGTACACTTAACGGATCGGCTTCATATGTGCCCCTATCTGAATATGATCCAATCCATTTTCAACCAACCCTACATGGAAGACTGCCTGAGATGCCATCCAAGGGTTACAAGTAATGGGTCCCACTGACTGAGTAAGGACACAAAAACTAAACCACGCTCCTCATTGGCCCACTCCAGATCTCGTATACTTTCATTAAATCAGACGTTACATTAACAAATGTATTCTTTTGTAGCTGTTTTATGTTTAAGGTTAAATACTTAAAAGTACTTCTATGCTTAGTAAATAAACAATAACGTATCATATCGTTTGAAGAATTATTTAGAATACCCTTTTAATTTTACAATTGACATTGCCGTTAAATATTAACTAAAAGGGTGAAATGTCAAATTTGTCCTATATTATTCCTCAATTTTCAAAATAAAACACAACTGATGGAACAAATAATAGCAACACAATGAAAAACAAACAATAACAAACCCTGATTTTATGTGCAGTTTTTCTTTCATTTCTTGGTGTATAATTTCCAATTTGCACATTTCAAGAGTCTTTCTGTTCTTAAGCCCCGTTTGGTTTGCATGAATAGAAGTTTGGAATTGGAATCGGAATGGACTATTCCAATTCTAACTGTTTGGTTGGGTGGAATCGGAATCCTATTCCCATTCTTTCTAGAATGGCATTCCCCCATTTTAAATCTCATTCCCTGCCCCTTTTCCTGTGAATGAAATCCCTTTCCTGCTGATTTGAATTCTCATTCTCATTCCTGTCTGAACCAAACAGACTATGGGAATGGATCATTCCAATTCCGATTCCAGAGGATTTTGATTCCAATTCCAACTGTGAACCAAACGGACCTTTACTGTTTGGTTTTGAGTGATAAATCCCTAATTCCAATTATAAGTCATGATGTCTCTTGTTAGGTTAAGAGAATAATTTTGCTTTATGTATCATATATACCAGAGCCTGACTTTGTGGATCAGCTACGATGATGATACATGCAAGTGGAAGTAGAGGACCTTAACTAAGGTAAATGGGATTAGCAGAGGATCAGTTGATTCTGTGGATGGTTGCAAATATCCAAACGAAGGAATTACAATGGCGTTATGGTTTCTTTTAGATGAGATGACTACAAAGACATGTCAATTTTAGAGGAATAAATGAAGAACCAACTGAAGAAGGAATCCTGATGAAATGGGGAGGAAGAGAGGAAATTGTCGGGTGGAAGACAATGAAGAAGAAGGGATTACAGGCATTCTACAATGAAATGGAGAGGAGGGGATGGAGGCTAAGGAAAGCATTCATTGTGTCTAATGATGTATCTCATCTCAGAACTAAGGTTCAAAATTTCTGATACACCCTTATAGGAGGTGTTTTGGGGTCTAACCCATTTCAGGGGGGTAGATGGGCCTTAAACCGGCCCCTTTGAATTGAGTTGAAAAAAAACTAAAAAAAAAAAAAGATGCGAGCCATGATACAATCCAATATGTCCCTATCGAACTGTTACTACATAAAAAAAAGATGAATGGTGCCCGAGAAACAAAGAGAGGGGTTGTGGTCGATGGCAAATGTTTGTAACCATTTCAGTATAAGATTTGGCTTCGATCGAATGTATTTTGAAAGGGTGATTTTTTTTTTGGGAATCTTAATTTAATGAATGAAATATATATTGGATTGCAACAAAATCCCTCTTCTTTAAAGGGTGAAATATATATTGAAAGGGTGGGTTTTGTTTTGAAATTTTAAAGAACAATGGCAAATGTTTGGAATTGAGAAAATTTATATAAATCACAATGACATTACATGATGGACACCTGTCATTAATGATAATGGAGGATTTTGTCAATTTAAAAAAAATTTAAGGGTATTTTAGTTAATTTTTCAAATAGTGGGATAAGTTATTATCTATTTGCTAAATCATAAAGATAATTTAATTATTTAACCATAAGGTTATATTTGGTTTAAAGGAAAAAATAGGGAAAAGAAGGGAAATGCAGAGAAACCTATACAATATTTGTAAATGTTTCCTTTCCTTTCCTTTCCTTTCTTTACTTTTTCCTTCAAATCAAACATAGCCTAAGGGTAATTTAATATTTAATCCTTATATTTATACATGTAAAAAACCCTTGAAAAGAATATAAATACAAATACATATAAAATAATACAAATGCAAGGCTTTGCATTCTACGTATTTCATATATTTGTATTTATATTCCTTCCAACCAAACTGGGTCTTATGTATTTATACACGTAGGACATCTGTCAAGTCTCAAGACTAACTGGAAGTGTAGGAGAAAGTTGAGGAAAACAAAGAGCAGGAGATCTGGAACGAACATTCCCGGCCTCATAAAAAGCCATAGTTCCACTAGCGGTGTTTCTGATTTGAAGAGCTTCTATTTATTTCCGCTTTTTCTCGGTTGCGGATTCTTCTTTTCCTGATCCTCTGTTCTGCGCGTGAAGTGAAGAGAAGATATCTAACTCCCATTATCACCAATGGCTGCCATGTTAGCTCGGAAATCCCTCGCCGCCCTTCGTGCTCGGCAGTTGGTAAGATCGCATCTGGCCCATAATTTATTCTGGAATTAACAGAACCCTAACTTTGGTGGTCACCTATCACTCAACGAAACTCTGCCTACTCTCCAAACCCTAACTTCAATTTTTTTTTTCGTCAAGCAAGAAGTAGTCTCTGAATTGAATTGTTATCCACATTTTTCATCAGTTGACAGTGGGTTGGCGAGTGCTGTAAAAGTAGTATTTCATTTCCATCAATTTAAGTCAGCGATTCTTGGTTATACTTTGGTGATATATTTTTAGCGATTTGACCGTACAATTCGTTCTTTTAGGGCATTGGTTCTATAGTATATCCTGTGCCACCGAGTAACCTGCGCTAGTCAGTTTAATCCAGTGTTTGTGTATGCTTCATTTCTAACTTCAATTTTTCTTATAAAAATGCTAGGTTAATCAAATAACGGGGAAAACAAATAGAGAGAGTAACCTTAAGACATAAAAAGGGTAATTTGAATTTTTCTAATTTCATAAAGACAGATATCCAAGAGCATATAGTGTATTCGTATTATCCATCAAAAAATATAATGTATTCATATTTTATGATGTCTGAAAGTCTGTGGGAGTGGGACAGAAAACTGCAAATGTATAACCATTTAACATGACCATGGTTATGTTTTGTAAATGTAGTTACCAACAAAAATGTTATTTTTTTTTGAAAGGTAACCGATAAAAAATATTTTGTAAATGTAGACTTTTTTTTTTATCTACATTATGCTGTTTGGGTTCTCTTGTTGGAGCAATAAATTGAGTGTGGCCATTACTTGCATTATTTTTCACCTTTGTTGAAATTCCTAATTTCTTTTAATCGCGTTGTTTTTGTCAAGACGAAGGTGCCCCTCCCAACCAAAAACATAAGAACCTGATTTGCTGTTATTTACCAATCAAAAAATTGTTGTTGTCTTTATCCTTTTAAAGGTTTCAAGGAAAAAATCTGTGCTTTTCTATTGGATATATATATATATATATTAGTTGTGAATTGGCATTTAGCTCATGTGCTTTAGTTGGATCCTTGGTTTCACTATAGGCTGGAGTAGGGCAGGTTCTTCAGGCGTCACATCAACATGGACAGCGAGTCACTTCATACCCATTCTCCACGAAGAAAGGTTTGCTTTGTTTTGTCCAATTTTCAATATATATTTTGTAGGTCAATAGCAGTGGACGTGTAGTTATATTCAAATTTAAGAAACTAAACACAGAGGGGCAGTATAAACATTTCTTGATAGGCACATAAAATTTGATAAATAAGATAACATAACCAGGTAGAATTCTCCCTTTTTGCCTAAAAAGTAAAGAACCAAATATTACACAGGATGGGTGACAAAGATGGTAATTATTGAGGTCAAATCAACTATTGTTACTCCAACTAGTTGGGACCAACTACCTGACTTCTGCTCTCTTTTTTCCACTCTGTTTCACATCTTATTTATCATTCAAACAAAAGGTCAAGGTCTTCTCTCTACTTTGAGTTGTTCTTTTCAGCTTCCCATTTTTCTCTTGGAGCCATCAACCTGCACCAAATTACTTGCTCCCCCACCAAATTACTCATTCCCCTGGTACAATTTTTGATATTTGGTACATATGGTCAAGCAGTCTCAGTTAACCTTTTCTCATATCTTGATTCCTATAACCTAATAGCCTGCTAGGGCTGGAAATTGACTAAATTGGACTGAGTATAGGGTACACCTGATGTTTGGTTGGCTTTGGTTGTTCTTTGCCTGGGTCAATCTCAAGAGATCAATTTGTTGTTATTCTGGTGTTTCTCATTTTGTTGTTATGTTTGTAAGTGTTGCCCTAACACCTACTCAGACTGTACTTGATTTTTTTTTTCTCATTTATTGATCTCTTTGAGTGTTTAGTTTCTGTGTACATCTCATCATGTACCTTTTCTCTCTGTGAATAAAGTTAATTTCTTCTCAAAAAATTTTTATATTTATCAAAAAAAAAACTCAAGAGATCAATAACACAAAGACGGCTAATAAACTAAAGGAATATAACAATTTTTAACTAACAATAGTTGAATGCAATAACAACTCTTCTGTAGGAAGTAGGAACTCCCTTGGCAGACGTTGGAATAATGGAATCTGTCTGAATTAGATGTTTAATTTTGAAGCCAAGACTATTGCTTCCTTGATGTGCTCCCATGGGTTCCATGACATGTATGATGTACCCAACATTACACATCTAGCCAAAAATGATCTCAAAATTCCTTTCTTCCTCAATTGGCTCAAAGCCAGGAGGATACATCAGAGTGATCCCTTAAAGAAATGTCAAAATCTTAGTTATAATGGATTCTCTCCTCAATTCCAACAAGGACTTGGGAATTTCCTTTGCCCACAACCCTCAAAAAGTTGTCAAGATATATCAGAATGAACCCTTAAAGAAATGCCAAAACCTTAATTCTAATGGATGCTCTTCTCAACTGGACTAGAATAAACCACAATTTTCTCACTGACAAGAAGAAAAATCTCACTGATAAGAAATGATAATCTTTCTCCTGTCATTTGAAGAAATTAGAGAGGAGTTTGAGCTTTCACGCCTCTTTTGTATCAGCCTCTCCATATGATCCAGAGAAGGTGCTATTTCAAGAATGGAGAGGCTGAACATCTTGATATCACAAGAGAGACATCAGGGGAAGGTAAATTAAATAGTAGTGCATATGAACCTGTGATGTCTGAAGGTGTTCAATCATCTTTACTCAAGGAAAATGTGTTGGACAAAGTTATGTCACCAATCCCCCTGTGTAGTACTATGTTGGAGGAGGCATTGGATTGCATGGCAGGGTTGAGTAAGAAACTAGGAGTTCATAATTTATTCTTATTCTTGGAGGCTATATAATTATATTACCCAGATATGACAAGGACATGGCTGGATATGGTATCTGATATGGAATTTACATAAAAGTTGATCTGACATGATATTGGCACCCTTGTACAGGTATTTGGCTATCATAGCCATATAGCAATAGAGTGTTTCAGACCTTTGAAGAATGGATTGATTGGGTTTGAGAAAGATTCTGCTGAGATTTTACTGTTTGATGGAGAGGATCACTGCATTGATTCGTTTGATTCATCAATTGTAGGTTTTGACATTGTTACTTTCTTCAAAAAAAAATGTAGGTTTTGACATGCATCTGTCGCTTTCTGATTTTGATCATTAGAAGATCAGTTGTGGTAGGGCCGTAGGGGCGTAAGGGGGAGTAGGAGTTGAGGCAGAGGAAGAAGATATAGAGCTGCGAAGAAATGAAGGTGGGGGATTCTTAGTTGGAGATTTCTGGGATTCTTGATTGGGAATGGAGGGGGCTGCCGTTACAACCCCAAAAGAGAAAAAATGTAATTACAAATTTTACTTGCATAATCGCAAGAAATGAAGAGAGGCTGAATGATTTAGAACCCAATTTGCTGAATGAATTTTAGAGGAACCCTTCCAGCATTTTATTATTGAGAAGTATAAAAGGAAAAAAAGAAGACTTTTCTACTGGAGTCCAAATGGAACCACCTTGCTCTCCTCCTTCCTGTGAACAATAAATAAATGCTCCACCCAGGAAGGGCAGATCCCCAATACAGCTTTCCCTACTTGCTTCCCTATATGCTTCCTTAGAGAATTATCCTTTTATTGATATATTGTACCTGAATCATATAAACTAGGACTTTAAAGAAGATGCTAGTGTGATTGCTTTTTTGTACATTGGAATAGGAATGTTTGGTTCTTAACTTGCCTAAAACCTCTACTCAAAGCTAAGATTATGCTTTCTTGAAAGAAGACTGACCAGCCTGATCAATAAACAAAAAGACTGACAAGCTTGACAAGTGACAACAGAATAAACATGAGAGGAATAAGTATAACGTGATATCTCTCTCTCTCTAGGTAAATTGGATTTGCATTATGTTATTATGGAAGGATATTTAAGGGAAACACCCCCACAGAGCTTTTGTTGTTTCACGATATAATGGATAGGGACTAGAAATTTACAGAAACAAACTATTTATTTTGAACAACAAAGGCGATTAAGGGGAATACTTCCATGTGTATTTCTCTTGCTTCCAAAAAACAAATTAAAAAACACTTAGGCCCTGCTCGTTTACAAATCTGTCACTTACCCAAGTAAGTGCACTTACCCAGGTAAATGTTTCCTGGGTAACAATTACCCGGGTAAGTCAAGGTTCAAAATATCGAATATCGATTTAGGGCGATACGTCGGTAAGGCGTATCGGCCTGTATCGGTACTGTTTTTTTCGAAACTGGTTCAGACTTCAGAGGGGCTGGTTTAAGGCCAGTCTACCCTCTAAACCACTTGCCGACCTGAAACACCCCCTGTAGGTGCATATCGGGAAGGCTCTGATACGATACGTATCGGCTGATACGAGTCAATATGTGACAAAATTTTGATCCTTGGGGTAAGTTCACTTACCCATGTTCTTTTGATTCCCAGGTAAGTACTACCATGGTTTAAATATCCCTAATTTCCCTAATATTTCTATGACATATTTCCATTTCCATGGGTAGCGACACAATTTTATTGGAATCGACATTTCCCCAATGAACACTACCAACACTATGTAGAGTGCAAGAGATAGTTTCCACGACATACTTCCATGGGTAACAACATGAAATTTTACTAGAATTGACATATTCCCCATTGAACACTACCAATACTATGTGGAGTACAAGAGATAGTATTATAACATTAATTTGGTAACAATATTGTAGGTATGTGAAATAGCAAGTTATTGTCCACCTAACTTATATGATTGCCACTTTGAACTAACTCAATATTCATTTCAAATATAAAGTTAAATATTAGTTTTTGTTTGTGTAATAGATTATTTGGCTAATCTATTACAACCATTTACATTTTCTGAGTTTAAATTTTGCTTTAACCCATTCTATCATGAAGCTCCGAATCTTAAGGTTTATAGGGAAACTTTAGAATATATACTTTTATCTATAACCTTAGTTTCTTAGCTTTGTTTAATGATTTAGAGTAAGATAATAATTTAAAAAGGTGTGCCTATGCTTCTTTTATCATTTCATAAAATAACATTTTATATTTTGCACATTTTACAATGTTTCCACCATATCTATAATTTTTATAATATTTTCGTACAATATTTCTGACATTTCCGACATGTTTCTTATATTTGGATGACTGACATTTCCACCGACATCGGCATTTCAAACCTTGAGTACTACAATGACTTTTTTACCCATAAAAAGCCAATGTTAAAATGGGCAAACTTGTCCCATTGTGTATAATCCCCAGGTGGGAAAGTTACTTACCCACCTGGGAGATAGTTAAGTTTTACCCAAGGATCAAAATTCTGTCACGTATTGGCCCGTATCGGCCGATATGTATCGTATCGGAGCCTTCCCGATACGCCCCTACAGGGGGTGTTTCAGGTCAGCAAGTGGTTCAGAGGGTAGACTGGCCTTAAACCAGCCCCTCTGAACCAGTTTCGAAAAAAAAAATAAAAAAACACTTAAAAAACAGTACCGATACAGGCCGATACGCCCTGCTGGCGTATCACCTTGTATTGATATTTTGAACCTTGGTTTTACCCGTGTAAATGAAGATGATTTCACCATGGGGCCCAGTAAATGAAGATGAACCTTGGTTTTACCTGGGTAAATAAAGTTGTCAATGGGAAAGAGATACCCATTTACCAACTTTCCCCATCTTATTTACCAGTAAATGAATGTGCCTTCTGGTAACCATTCAAGCTGACCAAATAAGTAATATTATAGGTGAACGTATTGAGAAATATAATAGAGAAGTAAAGATTTTGAATACTGGCATTGTAGTAGATGATGGTATTGGTCATATTCATGATCTTGATGAAGTAATGACAGGTGAATTAGTAGAATTTGAAGAGGGTACAATAGGCATTGCCCTGAATATGGAATCAAACAATATTGCTGTTACATTAATGAGTTATAATGGATTTTTTTTTTTGGGGGGGGGACCAAGTCCCAGCAACACTTGGAAGCAATGCTTCACTCCATCACTGAGCAAAAGATGACCTAAAAAAACAATTGAACATGCTAAAACACCAGAAACCTGAGATCCATCACCCTCTAGAAAAGGCAAAGGTTGGTAACTTCGTTTTACAAATAAAAAGGAAAGAACGGTTCAGAATGTAAAGATCCCAGTTCGAATCACATGTGTTTCTAAGGTCACATGTAAATTGTTCAAGACTTCAAATATGACACCCAAACTGTTTTCTTTCCTAAAGTTTGAAATTGGTGGTTGAGCAGCAGATAAATCCAAATTTGCGGTGGAACATTCTTGAAGATCACTTTGTATGTGCCATATTGTTGGTTTACTTGTTCAGTTGTTGTCAATTTTTTTTAATCATTATTTACAATAAAATATGGAGACTGGTATTAGAAGAAAAGATGCCATATAGTGCTGATGTGAAAATTTTAAGGAATAGTATGAGTTCTTGAAACAAAAATTACATGGGCAATGTTATTGGGTTTTATTGGTGATTTATTGTAAATATAATATTGTTCATGCTATTGATTTTTATTATTGATTTGTCTCTTCTTTGCCTGCAAACTGCAGAAGATGAGGAAAGAGAGCAACTTGCAAAGGAGATATCAAAGGATTGGAGTTCTGGTAATATTTTTGTGGATTACATAATATTCGGTTTTGATTCTGCTAAACCATCTAGAAGACGCATGATCCCATGTTTCAATAACATTTTATTACTCAAACCTTAGGCCTTCAGATGGAAGGGAGAAGTTTCCCCCAATTGGAATACCTGTTTTACCTAGGGAATAATTTCTGTTTCTGCAACATGCAATGGAAAATTCCTGACGCTTACTGAATAATGACAGTGTTTGAGCGAAGCATAAATACATTATTTCTGACTGAGATGGTGCGTGGCCTGATGCTCACACTCAAGTACTTCTTTGATAAAAATGTCACTGTAAGTATCTCCAACTTTAATTTGTTTACATGGATCGTTATTATTTCATATAACAAGGTTTATCCTGCTTGCTATGCAGATCAATTACCCATTTGAGAAGGGTCCTTTGAGCCCTCGTTTTCGTGGGGAGCATGCACTCCGACGTTATCCAACTGGAGAGGAGCGTTGCATTGCATGTAAACTCTGTGAAGCGGTAGGAACTTAGATTTTTCTCACACAAAAAGGAATAATGGAGTATATTGTGAACTGACACCATTCAGGAGTGGGGAATGAATGTTGGGCATCATTGTATGCTTGTTTGCATGGGCTGGGCAAATGAAGTTTGGAGTTCCATGCAGGTTTGAACTGGATTATTGCCCAGATTAAACAGTGCTCAAAATGATAAAAAAATTAAACAGTGCTCAAAATGATAAAAAAATTAAACAGTGCTCAAGATTCTTGTGAACATAGCAACAACCTGACATTTCCTTATTGATACCAATATTTATAAAATTGATATTAGTCAATTCTATTTTGGTAACAGCTGGGTGAGTCAAGTCCCATACCTGGAATCAAATCCCACCTTTGTCATTATTAAACAATAAAACATCCATCCTTCCTATCCAACAGAAAAAAAGTCTATGTACAAGCCTGTGGGTGTGCACATATCACTAGTTTTTTTTTTTCCACAAGTGACAATAATCCAATTCCATTAAATTTATTAAAATTTAATGAAAATGGGATTATTAGAGGTTGTTAGAACCAATACCCTTTATGACAAAACATTCCACCACTATTAACATTGAGCCCAAAACAAATGACGTCTATCGGTCTATGTACTCCTTGCTTAGCTAATCCATCTGCCAAGCCATTAGCAGACCTTCTAACCCATCTTACATGAATGTGCATCTGTCTTGATAGCAACTTGAACCGCCTGAACTCATTTCTAAATTGTCATAACACCCTGATGAGATGCTGCTCAACTCAGGAGTCTCTTCGAGGGAGACCCTTCCTCCTGCGCAGAAATGAAGAGAAGAGAAGAGGGGAGAGAGAGAGAGAGGTATGGATTCAATTGCATATGCATTCATTCGGCTAACCCATATTTATAATGGTTTTTTGGGTTACAAAATATCCCAACAGACTCTGTCAGCTCTAACGAACTCATGCAGAGGGACCTGCTGACGTGTTACCTGTTGCAGTTAGGTGCTGTTACGGTTTGCCTAGGTTCTTCCTCAGGTAAGTGCGAGTGACTGGAGGCCTAGGCCTCTGGGTTGGGTCTGGGCCTTGATTCCCAACACACCCCTTCTCCACTTTTCAACCAACCAATGATTATCTTTGTGTTTCCTTCTACAATCAGCCTTGTGATTCCCATTTTCTTATTTTTTTGCATCCCAACAATAGCAGCCATGAAGTCTGCTATCATTGAATCACCCTAATCAATTGGTCCTGAAAACAGACCACAAATATTCCCACCTCCATCCTGAATCACTCCTCCAATTTCAGATGGGCCCCTATTGCCCAAGCTGCTTCAAAGTTAAGTTTCATCCACCCATCAATTAGGAGAGACCATACCTCAATGAGATGCTGTTTTAGAAAAAGAAAGAGCTATCAAGCCCCAATTTCTGAAGAAGTCTTCAACTGAAAAATCTGAAACGGTTTCAAAGTCTTTACCCAGTGTGCTACTCTTACAGTAATAGCCTCAATAACTTTTTTTTTGATGAATGAATATAATTTATTAATTCAGAAAAAAACAGTACAGGGAACCCAAAAGAGGCACGAGCTGTTACCTCTTCAGGGTAGTATTACATCAAAATAAAAAACAGAATTAGCCATAAATACAATTACAAAGCAGCCCAAAATATATGTTCCCTTGTAGCCCCCTGCTTAGCTAATCCATCCGCTAAGGTGTTTGCTGATCTTCCCTCCCAACGAAAGGTAACAGTCATATTTCTTGTAAGCCAGTTGGCTTTCCTTAATAAGTCTTTGTGTCGCCACATGGCTGAAGCTGGATCTGTCAGCAATCCCACAACAATTTGAGAGTCTCCTTCAACTACCAAATGCTGAACTCCTAATTGTTCTGCAATCTGAATACCTTGTACCGCTGCCAAAATCTTAGCTCTATTAGAGTTTCCTAATCCCACAGGGCCTGAAAACAAGGCTAATATATTGCTCTCCGTATCTCTCAGCACCCCTCCTATTCCTGATGGGCCTGGGTTTCCTTGGCTGCTGCCATCAAAATTCAGCTTTACCCATCCTTCAGGTGGAGGGGTCCACACTGCAGAATCCCTGTCCTTCCTTCCTTGTATGGCTGCTAGCCACCACTATCCAATTTCTCCAAATATCATCAAAGGAAAAGGTATGAAAGAGGTCCATAGTTCTCAACCAATGAATGGCCCTAGTTAAGATACAATCCTCAACAGCTTGAATGCTTCTTTCCTTTTCCTTGATATCCTTGCATTCCTTTCTTCCCAAATTGTCCACAATGCGGCTGCTCTAATATATCTCTACATTATTTTTCCTTTTTTTGTAGGCCACACAAAAAAAGAAGGATTGAACAGTTGACTTAAGTCTGTGGACAAATTCCACCTACACCCAAACAAAGAAAAAATCCAACTCCAAATAGCTCTAGAAAAGGAACAAGATACAAGTAGGTGGGAGCAATCCTCACCATTAGCCCTACAAAGTACACACTAGTTAGGGGATAAACACATGAAAGGCTTTTTCTTCTGCAAGTAGTCCAAGGTATTAATCTTTCTATAAAACACCTCCCAGCAGAAAATAACAATTTTTGGTGGAACAGGTCTAAACCAAATCTCCTTGGTTGAAAAACCCCGCTGACTCAGGGAAGAGGAAGGGGACTTAAAAAAGGAAGCACAAGAGAAGTAACCTTTTGGATTAGGGGACCATAATCTCACATCCATACTAAGAGGGTCCAAAAAGACACTGCTAAGAAGAGACAACAAATCTGAGACATTGTTAAGTTCATCATCCCTCAAACCTCTCCGAAAGCCAAAATCCCAAGTTAAGGATGAAGGTGATATGGGAGATGGAAGAAAATGAGAGATAACTCTTTTCTTGTAAAGGGAAATAGAATAGAGAGATGGGAATTGGTCCTTTAGAGCAGTAGTCCTCACCCAAGTGTCTTCCCAAAATAAAACAAGGTTACCAGAATTAACATCATCCATGACAAAGTTGAGAAATTGAGGGAGGATACTCTGGATTGCTTTTCAAGGAGATGCCAACGTTGCTTGTCTTGATACACCCGCATCCCATCCATTTTCCAGTCTTCCATCTATTACTAGCTATCACTTCGTGCCACAACCTCTCCCTTTCTCTAGGCCACCTCCACAACCATTTTCCTAAGAGGAATTTATTCTTGAGAGTTAACCTACCTAACCCCAGTCCACCTTCCTCTTTGCTCATATATGCTATTTCCCAACTAATTAAATGATCTTTCTTTTCCTCCTCTAGCTCCCAAAGAAAATTTCTCATTAATCTCTCTAGCTTCTTAGCCTCTTTGTTAGGTATCCTAAAAATGGATAAGAAATAGACCGGTAGGTTCGCTAGGGTTGCTCTCAATAAAGTCACTCTACCCCCTCTAGAGATATAGTTTCTTTTCCAAACCACTAATCTTTTCTCAAATTTTTCCAAAACTGGGTTCCAAAAACTACTTCCTCTTAGGTTAGCCCCTAGAGGGAGACCTAGGTACTACAAGGGCCAAGAAGAAACGGGACAACCTAGACAATTTGCCACATACTGAATAATCCCCTCATTCATATTGACACTGACCACACAACTCTTATGCAAGTTTATCTTCAAATTGGAGACCTTCTCAAAATGTTGTAACAATGCTCTACGGTTCTTCACTTTTTGCCTGTCACCTCCTTCACAAAATATTATGATATCATCAGCAAACTATAGATGGCTTACCTGGACATTGTTCCTTCCTATCCTCCAACCACTCACGTCCTCTTCCCTATCTGCCTTAGAGATTAATCTGCTATAAACATCTGCAACTAAGGTGAAAAGGAACGGGGAGAGTGGGTTACCTTGTCTAAGGCCTCAACAAGCTAGAGAAAAGTCTTTGACCACCCCATTAACCAAGACTGAGTAATGGCAGGAACTAATACAACCCTTTACTCAATTGCACCATCTATCTCCGAAGCCACAACACGCAAGGACCTTTAGTAAAAAACTCCAATCAACAAGATCATAAGCCTTCTCTAAATCTAGCTTACACACAAAACCTTGACTCCCCGACTTTCTCATGTCCTCCACACACTCATTTGCTATTAATATCTGATCTGTTATTTGCCTTCCTTGCACGAAAGCACCTTATGCTTGACTAATGATGGATGGTAGTACTACTTGGATTCTCAGAGACAAGACTTTAGCCAAAATTTTATAGATGCTAGTCACCAGATTGGTTAGCCTAAAATCCTTAGGGTCCTTTGCATCTATCTTCTTTGGGATTAGGGCTAAGAAGGTTGCATTAACTTCAGGGTTTACCTTTTTTTTATCTGCAAATTCCTGAAACACCCCAACAAGATCTTCTTTAATCACATCCCAACAATCCTGATAAAAAGCCATTGTGAAGCCATCTGGACTAGGAGCTTTGGATTTATCCATTGAAAACACCGCCTGTCTGATCTCTTCTTCACTAAAGTCCCTTTCTAACCATTTTACTTGTTCTTCAAATATCCTGGTCCATTCCAAATCTTCCAATGTTGGCCCATTATTCAAGGGTTTCCTATAGATTGATTTGAAATGATCCACAAACAACCTTGCTATGTCATCTTGATTTGTTACTTCCTCCCCATTCACTTCTAACTTAGCCACAAAATTTTTTCTTCTCCTTCCATTAGCCAGCGCATGGAAAAATTGTGTTCCCATCCCCTTCTTTAATCCATTTATGTCTTGACTTTTGCCTCCAAGAAATTTCCTCCCTCAGAAGGACCTCTTCCAAATCCTTCTTTAAGTTCCTTCTCAACACCATTTCTTGCTCGCTCATCATCCTTTGGGCTTCTTTGGAATCTAATTCCTCGATCCTAGACAACAAGTAACTTTTTTGCTCCTCTATTCTTCCAAATTGTTCCCTATTCCACTCCTTGATTTTGGATCTCAACCTTTTCAGCTTTTTGTGGAATCTCACTCCCTTCCACTTCACCCCTCTTGAATCTTCTCTCCACCACTCCCCAATCAAATGCACAAAAT